TACCGTCGTGAAAAAATACATAAAAATTTTCACGACGTAAAATTAGTAAATAGTAAAATAGTAAAGTTTTTTTCAGCAAAACCCTAATTTTGGTCAGATGTTGAAAAATTTTAATGACAATTTTTTTAAAAAAAAGTAAAGTGAAATATGCAGAAAAGATAACATTTTGAATTTTTAAAAAAAATATTTCATCATAATTTTAACATCTGACTAAAATTCACATGCTAAATTAGGATTTTGCCAAAAACAACAAAAACAAATTCTAAAAATGCTCTCAGTTAATGAAAAACATGCATACAAGATAATATTTTGAAAGAAAAAAACCTTTTAATTTAATAACTAAATTTATTTAAGCATGAGTGGCTTAGTGGTTAAGGAAGCAGACTTGGGTCTGGAAGGCTACCAAGTTACCACTGAGGTGCTCTTCTTTTAATCAGAGTTTAAAGGTTTTCTTTTTGATAAAGCAACATTCACACAACTGATTGCTACATGGTTGTGTTTTTTTTTTGTACTTTTTTAGAGACTGATATTTATTTCTCATTTGTTCCATAAAGAAATAATGACCCACTGATTCTCTTCTTTCCACTGGTCCAAATGATGAACAGAGCCACTGCTTATTTCTACTATAAAAATCCATTTAATTTCTTATATCAAAAAGGAAAAAAAAACATAACAGAACAATCAGAGCCACAGATTTCCGTGTGGGCGTGTGCCATCATAAAAGAAATAAACAAAACAAAAAAGAGGAACTCTCCAAATAAAATTTGTTCTAATTTACAGACAGGTGACAAATCTGAGAGAGCATAATTAAAATGTGAATACTGCTAGGAAGTGTGGGTCAAGGGCAGGAGGGGGGGATAAAGACAACAGCCTGCAGGAGAGAGGGGGAAGGACAGGGAGAGAGTGAGAGAGACAGGAGATGGTGGTGGTTAGCGTTAGCAGCAGAGGTATGCTAATCAGCTGATTAGGCTCCTCTCTGGGAATGCACTTAACAGTTAGCATCAACCTAAATGACTTGGCCATTTAATTACACATAAAACCAGCATAAAACATTGAAACCTCCCCCAGAAGTGCGGACCACTGAACAGCGCCCCCAGCTCTTAACAATCAGAAGACAAGGAACAGAAGCTAAATATTAGCCTTCTCTGTTATAACTGTAATCTGTTTGACTAATTCCATCAGCAATGGCCACAAATTCACAGAAATGTGTAGTTTCTGCCTAACAGACATTTCTAGAACACTTTCAGAGCAAGACAAAAACAAAAAAAACAAATAAAACAGGCTTCTGTTCAGAGCAGTAGACTCACCCAAGGCCACAGATCATCCATCCCAGACTCCTCATCCTGGAAGGTGGACTTTATAACAATCATCTTCATCCAGAACAATCACACATCCACTGCCACTGTCACCGACGCATTCTTTTCCAGTAGGTCAATAAAAAATAAAAAAAAAAGTTTAAAAAGTACAGACTGCTATTTGTTACTGATGTTTGTATTCCTGGATACAATATATGTTCAAGACACTTTGTTAATAGGTTTATATATATATATAGATATATATATGCAAATATATATATTTATACTTTAGTCTGTGCAAGGAGGTGGAAAGATAATTGCTTGTAGTTTTTTTGCCAAGTCCATCCATGTGCAGTTAAAATAACGTGCCGTTTAAAACCTCCAGCAGCAAACACACACACACACACACTCACAATGGCACGCACACACACCAGGTGTAATAACGAGCCTGAACCAACAACCAGGAAGTACTTCAGTGACACCCACTCTTCTCTCTTCCCACAACAACCAAATACTGAGCAACGTTTCTGCGATGGAACAATATTTCTGTTTTTGTTTTCTCCACTATACAATTCATACAAAAATAAAAAATTAACTTTGTTCCACTTCCACTCTTCCTTCCTTTCTCTCTTTCTTTCTTTCCATGTTTGACTCTAGGACTTGCACAGAGGTAGTGGCTAGATGGGTGAGACGGGTGAGGTGGGCGTGAGCAGGTGAGCAAAATTAAAAAGAACTGAACAAACCTTTTATAAAACGGTTCCTTTTTCATCATCAGAGGATTTTTTTTTCTCCGTCAAAACAAAATATAATACTGCAATCACTTAAAAAAAGTAGTCCTTCATTTTATACATTTTGTACAGTGTTCTTGCTTTTTTTTTTGTTGCTTTTCTTTTCAGTTGGTAAAGGCAGAAGATGAGAAAGAGCGTGTGGGCTCAGCACTGGGCTGGGCAGGGCGATGTTGGCAGAATTCAGTTGGTGCCCGGCTCTACGCTAGTGGGTCCTCACTCAGGTCCTCGTCCACCTGGGACAGAAGTTCCTTCTTCTCGTCCGTGCTGGCCAGAGAGTTGCGGCTGTTCTGGGCGCCCATGTAGAGGGTGGCGTACACCGGGTTGGTGAAGTTGGTCGGCTGTGGAGTCAAGACAGGAAGGTAGTTATCTTGGCTGAATTTTTTTATTTTAACATAATTGCCAATTTCAATGTAATTTGATTGACATATACATATAGCCTAAGACAATGTTTCCCAAACCTTTTTTCTGGGGACCCATATTTTAAAAGTCACAAAACTTCGCAACCAAAGTCCATAGACATTATTCATAAACTCCTGGAAAATGTGATGAGAGACGAGCCAAATAAAAAATCTCTTGCGACCCACCAGAGGGACTCAGTCTTTGGAAACAATGGCCTAAGACATATACTGTACTGTCTCTGAATTGGCATCAGGTTATACATAGCCAAAAATTTACTGCTAAAATATTTTCTGTTTTTTTTTATTTTTTTATTTCACCCCGAAGAAAGATTGGTTTTTAAATGTACAAACTAAGGGGGGACTTTTACGGATTAAACAAAAAATTATGCTCCATGTCCAGGTCTAACCTTATCTGGGTCCAAAGCAAAGTCTGAATCCAGCAGCTCCCCAGCATCGTCATCAGGGTCTCCTTCATAGATTTTATAGGCTGGATTTCCAATCTCTACATTCATGGCTCCATTCGTCATCCTGTGGTGTTGGAAGCCCTTTGCGCTGCAGACACAACAAAAGAATCCATATTATTATTTTTTTTATTATTGAAAAAAATACTGTTCTTTTGTAGCAGCACTGTACCAGCAAAACAACCTCAGCCTCACAATCCACAACACCGAGACAACACTGTATATTAAAGGTTGTCAAATGAGCTTTTAGGGGTCAAAAGGTCATTTGATTAAAACCATAAAAATATACCTCAGCATGTCTGTGCTGGAGAATGCTGTTAGTAGACTCACCCAAGGCCACAGATCATCCATCCCAGACTCCTCATCCTGGAAGGTGGACTTTATAACAATCATCTTCATCCAGAACAATCACACATCCACTGCCACTGTCACCGACGCATTCTTTTCCAGTAGGTCAATAAAAAATAAAAAAAAAAGTTTAAAAAGTACAGACTGCTATTTGTTACTGATGTTTGTATTCCTGGATACAATATATGTTCAAGACACTTTGTTAATAGGTTTATATATATATATAGATATATATATGCAAATATATATATTTATACTTTAGTCTGTGCAAGGAGGTGAAAGATAATTGCTTGTAGTTTTTTTTGCCAAGTCCATCCATGTGCAGTTAAAATAACGTGCCGTTTAAAACCTCCAGCAGCAAACACACACACACACACACTCACAATGGCACGCACACACACCAGGTGTAATAACGAGCCTGAACCAACAACCAGGAAGTACTTCAGTGACACCCACTCTTCTCTCTTCCCACAACAACCAAATACTGAGCAACGTTTCTGCGATGGAACAATATTTCTGTTTTTGTTTTCTCCACTATACAATTCATACAAAAATAAAAAATTAACTTTGTTCCACTTCCACTCTTCCTTCCTTTCTCTCTTTCTTTCTTTCCATGTTTGACTCTAGGACTTGCACAGAGGTAGTGGCTAGATGGGGGAGACGGGGGGGGGGGGCGTGAGCAGGTGAGCAAAATTAAAAAGAACTGAACAAACCTTTTATAAAACGGTTCCTTTTTCATCATCAGAGGATTTTTTTTTCTCCGTCAAAACAAAATATAATACTGCAATCACTTAAAAAAAGTAGTCCTTCATTTTATACATTTTGTACAGTGTTCTTGCTTTTTTTTTTGTTGCTTTTCTTTTCAGTTGGTAAAGGCAGAAGATGAGAAAGAGCGTGTGGGCTCAGCACTGGGCTGGGCAGGGTGATGTTGGCAGAATTCAGTTGGTGCCCGGCTCTACGCTAGTGGGTCCTCACTCAGGTCCTCGTCCACCTGGGACAGAAGTTCCTTCTTCTCGTCCGTGCTGGCCAGAGAGTTGCGGCTGTTCTGGGCGCCCATGTAGAGGGTGGCGTACACCGGGTTGGTGAAGTTGGTCGGCTGTGGAGTCAAGACAGGAAGGTAGTTATCTTGGCTGAATTTTTTTATTTTAACATAATTGCCAATTTCAATGTAATTTGATTGACATATACATATAGCCTAAGACAATGTTTCCCAAACCTTTTTTCTGGGGACCCATATTTTAAAAGTCACAAAACTTCGCAACCAAAGTCCATAGACATTATTCATAAACTCCTGGAAAATGTGATGAGAGACGAGCCAAATAAAAAATCTCTTGCGACCCACCAGAGGGTCTCAGTCTTTGGAAACAATGGCCTAAGACATATACTGTACTGTCTCTGAATTGGCATCAGGTTATACATAGCCAAAAATTTACTGCTAAAATATTTTCTGTTTTTTTTTATTTTTTTATTTCACCCCGAAGAAAGATTGGTTTTTAAATGTACAAACTAAGGGGGGACTTTTACGGATTAAACAAAAAATTATGCTCCATGTCCAGGTCTAACCTTATCTGGGTCCAAAGCAAAGTCTGAATCCAGCAGCTCCCCAGCATCGTCATCAGGGTCTCCTTCATAGATTTTATAGGCTGGATTTCCAATCTCTACATTCATGGCTCCATTCGTCATCCTGTGGTGTTGGAAGCCCTTTGCGCTGCAGACACAACAAAAGAATCCATATTATTATTTTTTTTATTATTGAAAAAAATACTGTTCTTTTGTAGCAGCACTGTACCAGCAAAACAACCTCAGCCTCACAATCCACAACACCGAGACAACACTGTATATTAAAGGTTGTCAAATGAGCTTTTAGGGGTCAAAAGGTCATTTGATTAAAACCATAAAAATATACCTCAGCATGTCTGTGCTGGAGAATGCTGTTAGCAAGCATTTCAACATGTTCTTAGGAGGACATTTTACTGAGCAAGCACATAAAAAATTTAAACATTTAAACACAGACACACATGTAATATGTCTTTTTTTGTTAACTGCCAGCAAAAGGTAGTTAAAGATAATATCTATAAACAGGCCCTTGTGTTGCTGGTCCAGAAACCCCACAGAGAAGACAAGCGATGACAGGCAAAAGACAAACAGGGAGATTTTCTACACGGACCGACAGCAGGGACAGATGGACTGACTGACTGGACTGACTGGATATCAGAGAATGAAGGAGACAAGATTCATGGCTCGACAGCTTAATCAACATAACCCTGTAAAATTACCGCGAGCACTGAGAACGAGTTTTGCCCCGCCTTAGAGATCTGGGAGACAGGAAATAGATGGTTATCAGGAGGGAAGGAAGAGAGAGAGAGAGAAGATAGACAGATGACAAATGGAGTTCGAGTTCAAACGGTCTCCTTGAGCCAGGACTCACCCTCGCATTCTCCGCTTGTACCACCAGATGGCACCAACCACCAGCAGTGCCAGTAAGAGCAGCAGAAACACAGGGATGACGATGGAGGTGGTGCCTGTGGGGGAACAGACAGAGTCAAAGGGAGTCAAGAAAAATGTTTAAATGCTAAAACTTCATACTGAAGATAAATAACAACTCACTTCCACTGGAAGACGGAGAATCAACAGGAGCTGCTGCCACTTCACATCTGTATCCTCTCCAGCCAACGGGACACCTGCACACAGAGCCAGCCAGAGCTTCAGACGATGACTTAAAACCAATGACGCCCAGGTGGGTCACAAGCCCAGAGAAATATTTAGGCAAGTGTTTATTTAACAAATGCTAAGAGTGTTTGAGTCACAACTTACTTGCACTGAGGCAGCAGTGACCGAGTGTCTACTGAACACTGGCCATTAGCACAGTAGTCCAGACAGGAGTAGCAGCTGGGCTGGATCTGACCATTAGGACAACTACACACAAAAACACACACAAACGCAAAGTGTGATGATCTTTAGTCACACTGACCAAACTTCAGAATCACGATCGTCTTTTAATCTCTGACCCGGTTCACCTCTCACAGCAGTAAACTCACCTGCAGGACACCTCCCCTGAGGCCGACGTCAAACATTTGCCTGTTCCACAGAACTGACACTTGTCCAGCTCGCACTGGTGACCGATGTACTGAGACGGACACAGACACAGCTTGGTGCTGTTGGCTGTTTCCAGGCAGGTTCCGCCGTTCTGACAGAACCCTTCACATTTAGCTGTGGAGGCAGAGACGTGTGGAGTCAGCGGTATGATAAGTATTCAGTGTGTGTTTGAATCTGAGGTTCGACCGGTGATGTCACCACACGTACTGTACTGGCAGTGGTCTCCCTGGTGCTCTGGTGGGCAGCTACAGGTGGGCTGGTTGCCCATGTTGACTGTGCAGTTGCCATTGTTTAAGCAGTAGTCCTGACAGGTCTGACGGTTGCAGGTGGGTCCTGTGAATCCTTTTGGACATCTGCAGGTTGGTGCACCTGCAATTTCAGTGAAAAAAAGAACATTTAAATAATTCAAATAATATTTAAATAAATCTGAGAAAAACTTCTGACCAAGTGATGTGGAAAATTAATGAGTCTAATAAATCATCGTACCAGTGTGTGAAGCAGTACAGGTGCCTCCATTCTTGCAGTAATCCCTGCACTGGTTGATCTCGCACCTTTCTCCGGTGTAGCTGGGCTGACAGCGACACTTGGCCACCTGACGAGCGTTGAGGAAGCAGCTGCCGCCGTTCAGACACTGAAGTTCACAGGGTCCTGATGGTGGCGCTGCAGAGGAGGAATTCCATCATAGGGAACGATTTCAGTAAAACCAGGTTTTTTTTTCATATTTCCATCAGATGAGAGTGTGTGCGGACTTACAGAACGGTGACTGCGTGGGGGTGGGTCTCTCCACACATGTGCCGTTGTTGGCCACGTACTTGTTGGGACAGGTACACACCGGTCCACTGGGGCTGAGCAGACACAGCCACTCACACTTCTTCCTGTCACATGGGTTGGTCACTGAGACAAAGACAAACAGTAGAAATCTTAAAGTTTTGAAAAGTAACGGTTGACAAGACAATAAACACACACAAAAATGATTAAAAAACAAACTAATGCATTTTGACACTTGTCTGAAAATGACTGGTAATGTGCTGTAAAGAACTGCAAGATTTGGCAACAAATAGTCTAAATTCTTTTTTTAATTATTGCCAATGTAGCAAGAAAATAGCTTAAGTAAAGAGACATTAGGACTACACCATAAAATATGTCGGCAACAATTTGGAAAAAAAATCGCTAAAGGTTAGCCAAAAACAAAATAGTTAAAATATATCTGATGAAGCTGTACATTTTCAAAACATGTAGGATTTCCAGATTTCTGATTTCCATTCAGGATTTTATCATTCATTACACATAACACATAATAATTTGCTTTTTTTTTACTTTATTATGTTTTATTCTTATTACTCAGGGAACAGGGTTTCTGACTCACTCTCTGGCTGCTTGTAGCGATGGTACAGCACGATGTCAGTAGCGTGGTTGATTCCGGTGGTGAGATTCTCCATGGTGCCTTTTCCAAACTTGTTGACTCGGAAGACAACGTTATTGACGTACGTGACTCCGTAGATGTAATCCTCAAAGACATCTATGCTGAATGGATGAAGCAGGTCTGGAACCAAAGAGAGAGGCCGAGGAATCAGAACATGTGAAGGAAATGTTCGAATCAGATTCAAGTTTGTTCCAAGCGTGCTGGAGAACTCAACTGTTTTTGATGCCCGACGCAGCAATGACAGGGTCAGAGCCGTCCAAACGGACACTGCCGATCACCGAGAGTTTGGCATCTGCCCAGTACAGACGCTCGTTGAAGTAATCCACAGCCAAACCTGTAGAGGGAGACACAAAATGTTGGAAGGAACATTAGTGGGTTCACTGGAACAAAGTGAATCAAGGTGTCAACTTCTGTGCTGTACTGACCCGTGGGCCACTGAATATTCTCATGGACCAGTGTCTGTCTCAGAGTGCCGTCCATAGCAGCTGTCTCAATTTTAGGATGGTTCCCCCAGTCTGCCCAGTACATGGTTCTGAAAAGAAAACAGAATTTACCCATGAAACGAGACATAAAGTGAGTTAGAATCGTGATGTTTGAAACTGTGAGATTTTAGCATCTGGTCCTCCATCAGCTGACTCTCCTCGTACCCTCTCTGTGGATCCACTACGATAGCGTACGGCTCGTCGATCATGCCTGAGATGAGGGTCTTGCAGTGTTGACCCGTCATCTGGGCCACTTCGATCACATCCCGACCCGAGTCGGTCCAGTAAAGGTTCCCAGCCACCCAGTCTACGGCTATACCACGAGGCATCTTCAGCTCTTTGATCTAAACACAAACAGAAAGGCATTGATAGAACATTGAGATACATTCATTCATACACACATACACATACAGTATATATACTGTACATTTATGTATATTTGAATATGTATTTATATATGTATGTATATAGATACATATATATGCAACTATATAGATGTATATATAAAAACAATTTAATATATGACTTACTATTTCTATTTCACTATTTGCATACAGTTTGCACATAGAGAATAGTTCTCCAACCACTGCAGAGTGAACCTGATCATTTAACTGATCAATTTAACTGTTTGGTTTTACACCTTTATCGTGAACCGTCTCACCTGCAGGTTTGTGATCCTGCCTTCGCTCTGCCGTTTGTGACGATGAGAGTTCGAGGACGTGGACAGCGTCGACTGTCCTGGCAGTTCGTAGGAGGAGATGCGGCCTGTGTGCCAGTTGGTCCAGAAGATGCGGTTGGTCTTCACGTGCAGGTCCATCGCATCGATACGAACACTGGCGTCCCCCTGGAACGTCTGCTCGTAACGCCAGTTGGGCATTCCAGGGTCCAGGCTGCGGATTTCATTGTCATCAGCAATGTAGAGAATCTGTCTGCTGCTGTTCATGCCTGGGAGGAACGAAGGTCAAAAGTCACGACCTTTGAAACAAATAACAACTTAAGATAAGATTCCACACGAGAAAGAGGGTAGAGATCTCACTGTCGGCCTTGCAGGTGTCGTTGATCCTGGTGAAATACTTGTGGCAGCTGCATTTGTACGAGCCTTTGGTGTTGTTGCACATGTGGGAACAGATTCCAAACTGCAGACACTCGTTCTTATCTAAAAATAGAGAGTCAAATGAAAACCATGAGGAACAGCAGACCCCGTGGCCTCACAGCATAAGCATTTGGTATTTTTTCAACTATTTGGTGATTTGTCATGACAGCTGCAGAGTTTCTGCAGGTTTACCTCCACAGGTGCGATGTCCTACTTTCTGGAACCCCGGTTTGCAGGAGCAGAAGGAGTCGCTGCCGTAGGTGACACAGTGAGCTTCGTCTCCATCTCCACACTGAGTTCTGTTGCTCCTGCAGTCATTTAGCCTTGTGTCTGAGGACGAACGAGACAGAGCTGAGTGGGTGCTTTTAAATTTGACAAATCTTTTTTCTCTCCATTTTTATCACAGCAGTTTCATGTCGGGCACCTGTCTTGCAGTTAATCTCATCAGAGCCGTGGTCTTCACAGTCATTGAAGAAGTTACAGCGCAGGTTGGAGCTGATGCACCTGCTGTTTGCACACAGGAACTCATCCTTCTCACATGTTGGATCAGGTGGAGCAGCTGCAGTGAACAGGTCACAGGGTTAGGTAAAAAGTTTTCAAAATTAAAGGTTATTCTCCAGAAACATTCTGGAAGTCTATAGAATATTTATCTAAACATTTCAGCAGTATCTAAGGTGTATTTCTGCTGTGTGTTTGTGAGTTTTATAGTGGATTTACAGTAAGTAATGCTTAGTGACTTAATTGAGAAAAGAACTCTCATGCATACGTATGAGTATTTTTATATGTTTGGATACAGATGAATATCTATTTATATATGTGAAGATACAGGTATTTTCTGTTACCTCTTAACAGGGTCAGCTTTATTTAGGATAAGTAGGGCAGACATATATAAAGTAATAAGATGTTCTTGTCTGTATCTTTTAGTCTTTGCTGAAAAATGGGGTAAAAATCCCATTAATTTATTCGTTTCTGAAGTAGAGACCACACGCAGTGGGGGCCGCAGGCACTGACCTCTAACTTTACCCTTAGATGCCATTTATACATTAGGAAGCAGCACTAACAATTTTCCCTCGTAACAAATATAACATGTAAGGAAGTGGTTACTGAAATGGGGGCAGGCCCTCTTCGGGGCACAGGCTATTACAGGGAAGGCACACAAAGGGGAAATTAATTTCCTTTCAAATATTTCTTTATCTGTGCCACATTTGGAATTTTTTCAATTTTATTTCACTTAACATTTTTTCACCATAAGAATAGCAGTTTTATAGGAATTACATGTGTTTCCAATAAAGTTCAGTGGTGCTTTGATGCAAAAGCTATAAAAACCTTTGGTGTCAGAGGGTTGAAAAATAGTCCTTCATACAAAAATGTGGCGATTTAATAGAACAAGACAGCTTTTACTATTTACATATAAAACTTCTACAGATTAAAAAAATGTAGTTTTTTGGAATATTCAAACCTGATGCTAACTGTAATTCCAAACTAAATATTGAACCCTCTCACTTAGTGTGACCGTCTAAATGTTTGAAAGAGTTTTCAAAGGTGATTTTTAATGTGTCTTCAACTCACGGCAGTTCAGTTCGTCTGAGTTGTCCCCACAGTTATTGACGCTGTCGCATCTTTTTGAGAGTTGCAGACAAACACGGTCGTTTTGGCAGCGGAATGCCCTGGTGGGAGGACACTGGAACCTCCCTGAGAGGCAAACAGGAAAAAGACGTGCAGAGAAAAGAGGCACAATGCAGAAAGAAAAATAGGTCAATAACACAAAGGATGAAGTCTGAGAACAGCAGAAGGTGTCTGTGATTCATGACACTGCACTCACTGCATTCCTCAGGATTCTCATCAGAGTTGTCCCCGCAGTCATCCTCCCCGTCGCACTTCCAGGCGAGCGGTTTACACAGGGTGTTGTTACACTGGAATTCATCCTGAGGGCACTGACGCTCAGCTGAGAAAAAGGGAGGAAAGACTCTTTTACATCTGATCCTTCTGTGCCTCTGACTTAAACATTTAACATCTGGGATTTTAAAGTGTGTATTAAAACACACAGCCTCCACTGACCAGTTTTGCCACAATTCTCCTCATCACTTCCATCCATGCAATCAGGGTCAGCGTCACACCTCCAGCGGTAGGGAATACAGTGACCGTTCTTACACTGGTAATGGTCATTGTCACACTTCAGCTCACAACCATGCTGAAAAAAAACCCACAGCCCACAGGCGACCAAATATCATTATGATGAATGGTACTTTTAGGTCATCTAAATGAACATTAGCTTGAAAAAGTGTCTGCACCTCATCTGATCCGTCAGCACAGTCATGGTCTCCATCGCATTTCCACCTCCCGGCAATACAGCGACCATTTGTGCAGGCAAACTCACTCTCTGAGCACTGTCGAGGCCCTAAAGAAGAAGAAAAGACCTTATTGTAGATGTTGCCAACAGCAAGGGCAAGGTCAGGAAACACACACACACACATATATGTATATATATATATATGTATATATATATGTATATATGTATGTATATATATATATGTATATGTGTATATATATATGTATATGTGTATATATATATGTATATGTGTATATATATATATATGTATATCTGTCTGTATATCTATATATCTGTCTGTGTATATATATATATATATGTATATATATATGTATATATGTATGTATATATATATATGTATATGTATATATATATGTATATATGTATATGTATGTATATGTATATATATATATATGTATATATGTATATGTATGTATATGTATATATATATGTATATATGTATATGTATGTATATGTATATATATATGTATATATGTATGTATATATATATATGTATATGTGTATATATATATATATATATATAAACACAGAATACAGTGGATGGTGAAGGAGACTGAAAGGAGCAAGCTTGCAAATAACAAAGACAAAAATAAAATCCAAATAAATATATATATATAAATAAAATATATAGGTAATGTAGAAATATAAAAATAAAATATATATTTTCAGCCATTGTTTTTTTTTTTAACCAAGGTGGTTACGAAGACATTTTATAAAACTCACAGCAGGCAGGGGACACAGAGCATGGACATATATGAAGATGAGCACCTTACCTCTGTCTCAGGCCAACAGGACAGTATGAAATGAAACAAATATCAGATGAAGTAATGCATCAGAAATGACAGATGTTAGTGCTGAGTGCCCGCAGTCAACAGGATCAATGTGCAAAGTGCGCACATCACCATATGGTCATGTGGCGATGGGGATGGATGTTGTTGACAGTGGGTCGAGTGAGGTAACAGGGAGTGAGTATAAAAGTGTTCATTCAAAGCAGACAGAGACACGTACGGCAGTTGTCTTCATCCGAGTTATCGCCGCAGTCGTTGTCATAGTCGCACTGCCAGCGGCCGGGTACGCAGCGGTTGTTCTTGCACCTGAACTGATAAGGCTCACATGTCCTCTCCGCTACATAGAGAACAAGAACAGGATATCATGAATAGAAAATAATCGAAGGAAAACAGGGGGGAAACAAAACCTGTTTCTGCGTCCTTACCACACTCCTCCTTTGGTTCATCTGATGCATCACCACAGTCATCCTCGCCGTCGCACTTCCAGCGAGCTGGGATGCAGCGGCCGGAGTCCTTACATCTGAACTCATCAACGCCACAGGTCATCTGAGCTGGAGGACGAATCACGTGGAACACAGCTAATTAGATATACATGTTAATGAATAATAATGATAGTAATAAATGTAGACTAGAGATCCTACTGCAGTTGGTCGGTTCGTCAGATCCGTCCACACAGTCGTTGTCCCGGTCGCACACCCAGACACGAGGTATGCAACGCTTGGTGATGGCACACTGGAACTGGGTTGGAGCACAGGTGACCTCAGCTGTGACAGAAACACACCGTGTGTGTGTGTGTCATTACACAGAGTGAAATCAGACAACATGGGGAGACAGCGCTGGACTGAAATCAGGCTGTGAACTTACGACAGTCCTTCTCATCCTCTCCCTCTCCACAGTTGTCTTGGCCGTTGCAGCGGAAAATACCGGGAATGCAGCGACTTGGGTGGGAACATTTGAACTGGCTGGGCAGGCAAACATGGATATCTGCAGAGAAAAACAAACAGAAGAAATGTTGGAGAAAAACATAGATAAAAAAAAATGGAGCAACAATAACAGAGTTTGGAAGAACTTGAAAGATGTAAAAAAAAAAGATTCTCTTTAAATAAAGTAAATTATTAATCTAGTACCAAACGGCCCATGCCCTGTTAGTGCTCTGCGGCCCAGAGGTTGGGCACCCCTGCTCTGGATTTACTATATGCTGTCAGTTGTGTCGCTGTAATAACTGTAGGACTTGAAGCTGAAGGTTTCATCAAAATGATGAAATTAAAACTAAACTGAACGTACCACAGTTGGCTTCATCTGAGTTGTCCTGACAGTCGTTGTCTCCATCACAGATGTAGGCAGGGTTGGTGCAGATGCCTGTACCACACTGGAACTGCCCTGGTCTGCACTTAAACTCAGCTGTAAGACACAGCCACAGTTCATCAGAGTCACGGTCACTAAAGTCCCACACCAAGTCTGAACCGTTTATGAACCACGACACGGCATCGGTTACAGGTTTGACTTACGACAGTCTGCTGGCTCGTCCGACCTGTCGCCACAGTCGTCCTCCGTGTCACATTTCCACCAGAAAGGAATGCATTTATCGTTTTTGCACACAAACTACAGCGGGGAACGGGGGAAAAACAAAGTGATAAATCAAACACTATTGGCAACTGCAGCACCGGGCCACCAGCCAGCTGTCAACTGAACAGCATTACATTTAATGAATTCTGCTAACAAGACACAGTGAGATATAGAGCTGTTCACGCTGCCTGTGTACCTGGCTGGCTGTGCAGTTGGACATGCAGGTGCGCTGATCGTTGGCCAGGTAGAAGTTGGTGGGACAGGCACATTTGTAGCCTCCTCCAGGAGACAGCAGACACAGGTTACTGCAGCCTCCGTTGTTGGTCTGACATGGATGGTTCAGCACTGGAGAATAAAGACACCATCCAACCATGGTTAATGCAGCAAGAGCTATGACGACAAACTGACTGAACACACATCTGTTTCTCTCTGTATATCTAAACATTGTGTGTTTTCACCTTCGGGCTGGCGATAAGGATGGTAAATGTGAATGTCCATGGGTCGATGCAGGGTGCTGATCAGGGTGGATTTGTTGGTTCCTAGGGACTTGTGAGCTCTGTTAATGGACTTTGTCTCCCAGTCTGTCCAGTAGATGTACTCCTCAAACAGAGTCATGGCAAAGATGTGGGGGATGTCGTGGTTGAGAACTGCAAGAAACAAACAGCCAATTAAACAATCAGCACTGGTATAAAGAACAACTGACAGTTGACAGACAAAAGTCTGTAAAGAGTGTTTTGAGACCAGTTTTCAGTCCAAACTTGTGAGTGACGTCTAAAGACAAACCACAACCCGTTCATTAGCTTTTTCTGGGAAATAACAGGTTTTTTTCTTGTTTAGTTTTCAATAATTACCAAGTTTCTTTGTTGTTGTCATTTGTCCATTTTTATTGTTGACTTTTATTGTGAAGAGGGAGAAACCAGGCAGCTAACAAACTGGACACAGTGGTATTGTTGGATCCATACTTTTATTACCTCACACTGATTACTTTGAAATTACTTTGACCTGGACTCCTGTGGTTTTGACAAATGTACACTCAGAACTGCAGGAGACTGTGATAGGAACAATTTAAATTTAAATAACCAGTCAGAACAGAACAGAACAGAACATCACATGCCACAGAGTGACTACAACTGAACACATTTCTCCAAGATTCTGCCCCGCTCACAAACAGAGGCCGCTCCACAGCCACCGTGGCTCCACGACATCTGCGTGTCATGTTACGTCCTTTCACACCTCATTAACTTTTACACTTCAACTGGACCTTGTCTGCTGCTCTCTATCTGTCGTCTGTTTGCTTCCACTGTTTGAGTTCGGTGTGATATTTACTGCCGCACGAAATAAACCAAACATCATACGTGACGTAGGTGAAGGAGACGTGAAAGGAACTCAATGTGTACAAAAAAATACAATGCTCCTATATTAACTCATCTCAGACTTTTGGTTAGCGTTAATCTCAGTACATACTGTCTCAGTGTACACATACACACACACACACACACACACACACACACACACTTCTAAATGTACGCCGTCTCAGCAAAATGATTTATACAGACTGTAAACAATCCTTTGCGCCCACACAGCAGAGCTCCAGCCGACGTGAGACTGTTCAACACAAACGTCCGCTCACATCCAGGATTCCTCACACTCTCAGCTGCCTGACAATATCTGCTTTTGTCTCCACTGGGCTAAACAGCTGAGTTCCACGCAGACGTCATAAATACTAAAAAGCCTCACTAATCAGGACAATCTCCACTATTCTCTGTCTCCGTTCTCCGGGCATGTGCTCCGGGGACGAGACTGTAGCTGTGGAGACGACAGTCTGGACCTGGCTGCCTTCACATTCTGGCTTCAAATGAGTCTGGAGTTCAGGACAAGATGAAACTCGTCTGCACTTTTGTCCAGTATTGCTTTCAGTGTCCTGTCGTAAAAACCCAACTTTAATATCCTTTCAGCTGTCAAATGTGACATTTTTTCTCTCAGCAGAAATTCAGAGATTTGGATTTAAAACTTTAAAAGGAAACTAAAAATGTTAAAATGACATTACCCGTATGTCTGTTGGGACAAATCCAAATCCAAAAATGACATTACCCGTATGTCTGTTGGTGCCATCGAGGCTGGCAAACTCAATGTAGTCCTCCCTGGCGTCCGCCCAGTAAATACGATCATTGATGAAGTCCAGGGTCAGTCCGTTGGGCCAAGTGATTTTGTCCTCTACGATCACGCTCCTGTTGGTGCCGTCCATGCCGATCCTCCCAATGTGAGGGTTATCACCCCAGTCTGACCAGTACAGGAACCTGAAGTGACGAGACAACGTCAGTGACAGGTTTAAAGAAACAACAAAATGAAACAAAAGATGAAAAGCCTCTCTCACCCGTAGCGAACATCCACAGCAACAGCTCGAGGTTCTCTCAGCCCATTGTTGACCAGCACGGTTCGATAGGCACCGTTGAGTTTGGACACCTCAATGGTGTCTCGGCCTTTGTCACACCAGTACAAGTTTCCTCCGACCCAGTCCACTGCCAGACCGTCAGGGTTACTGAGAGAGGTACGGTGTAAAACCTGCGGAAAACAGTCAGACACGGGGTTGACAGGAAGTCACGTCTCATCAATATGTCGTTCACTCATAGTATATGACTTTTTTAAAGACGTGAAAAAGCACTTCAGTGTCTTCTCACGACAAACTGAAACTAAATAACTTCCATCTTTTTATTAATAAAATTACTTTTGTACTTTTATTTAGTTACTGTTTCATAGTGGTCCCCACGTGGCCTGACCACAAATGATCGATAACCATTTAGACCAACCGGTGTTAGAATGTCACACTGACCTCCATGTTGCTGCCGTTCATATTCATGCGTCGGATCATGCTGCCCTGAGTTGTCACATCCGTCCAGTAGATCATCTGCTCTGCATAGTGGAAGTCCAGCGCCACTGCATTATTCAGACCCTAAAACACAGGAGGATACAGGAGATAAATACAGGATTGACAATGGCAGTCAAAATATTAAATGCTTCTTACTTTAATTTTACAGTTAATTTGACTATATTATATATATTATAAATAAAAGCCATGCATTGTTAATGATTTTAATCAATTAAATAATTAATGGAATATGTTAAATTGTGAATAAAGAGTTTATATTTACACCTAAATGGCTCAGAGGGTTAGAATGACATATGATGGTAGTTTGAAAGTTAGCAACAGAGCTAGTTAAAGGTGAGGTTTAAAGAAGAACTCAGGCACCACAAAAACCTGCAACAACTGAACTGACCTGACATCGGCTCAAACTAGAGAAATACTGACCTGTTTTATCAGGGTGTAATTTGAACCATCCAGGTTGAGTTTCCTCAGGTAGTAGCGATTAGCAAAGATCAAATACGGCTCCACTTCTGCACGCCAATACAATAAAAAGAAAACATATGTTTCAGGAATGACGTGGCCGTGAGCCAAAGATCCCCCTCAGTCATGAGTCACATGTCAAATATGCACATGCGTGCTTCACCTGATGTGGACTTGCAGATGGTCGGGTCGTTGGGGCTGAGTTCAAAGCCGTCCACGCAGAGACAGTGGTAGCTGCCGTGACTGTTGATGCAGCGCTGAGAGCAGGGGTAGGTGGTGGTACACTCGTCTACGTCCACACACGTCTTCCCGTCACGCTTCAGCTGGAAGCCGGGGTAACAGCGGCACTGAGGGGTGAAGGAGCACAGAGACGGATCGTTCCACAGACTGTAGGTTCTGGCACTTTCCCTGTCTAGTCTAGACCAGCTACAAGTTACAAGAAAAAAATAATAATCTATTCCCCACAACTTCTTCGTGAAATGGCAAGGAGTGAACAAATATTTCTACAACATTTCTCTACACAAGGCACCGATCACAGACGGAACACAGACACTGGAGTTCAGACAGAGTTCAGGCTGACTGGCCTCCCACTACAAAGACAATGTGTTTGCCTTATGTAACCACATGCCAGTGGAGACTGATTTCAAAGGCTTTTATTTCTCTTCAGATCTTAACGGACTTACTGTTAATAGCAGTAATAGTTTTGCAGACACAAATGCCTGAACGTCTACAGAGCGAAACGGTGATCCACCGGTTTTAAAAGAATCCGATCTCAGTCATTGAGATAAACTTCCTGTTCCCTTTCAGCCATGACATTTTAGAAAATTCCTCTAAAATGAGTTTCAGGTCTGGAACCGGGCCGAACAATCACAAGATAATCCAGGATCATAAAGCATTTCATTTTGGGGCAATAAAAATAATTGGACGTTATGAACTTAGCAGTCGGGGCTGACATGATTTCTGGAGTCGAGGGAAGAATTTTCATGTAACACAATCTTCACCAGTCAGAAATATTGATATTTCACCGGAGGACTGAGGACAGTGCTGTACTTGTTTTTAACATCATCAATTAAACCTGGAGCCTGTAACATTATTTTACAATCTGACGGCTAATAGCAGCTGAAAATGAAATTGTTTTTAGCAGACATAATTTTTACGCCAGTCCAAACCTTGACTTTATAAAATAATCCTTTACACACATTCAGGCAGACAAAACTTAAGAAAAAGAGTAAGCGGCACAGCTGACCTTGTAGCCAATCTTGAGGTCGTCACAGAGCTGCGAGCAGCCGCTCAGCTTACTGTTGAGACACTCATTGATGAAGCAGTTGAGTTCGTCTGAGCCGTCACCGCAGTCATCGTTACGGTCGCACAAAAGTGTCTCATTCAGACACTTGCCGTTACGGCACATGAAGGCCGAGTCGTTACACGTCCTCTCTGAAATCACAGAAGGGATGGAGCCAAAACCTCAGGTCAGTGTTTTATTGCCCTACTGGGTAGTTTGATGAAGAAGGTCAACAATGTCTGTAGTAGTTCCACACAGATAAAGTGACAGTTTGTCTGTGGCAGTGATTTCAATTTAAATCTATTGGTGTAAAAGCTCTGCTCACTTTCTGTTAATGTGACTGTTAACTACGCAGAAGTTTAATTTTATTTCTTTATTTTTTAAATATTATTGTTTATTTTGTTTTAATGTATTCTCTCATGTCCGTTCAACATGACTTTTGGATTGAAGATGTAAGAATTTACAATCAAATTTGGACATGGTATTTACAGTTACACGAGACAAAAATACTGATCATATGAATGAAAATGATCAGATGTTGAAAACTGTTACCCGAGTCAGTGCAGCGTGGGTTCTTGGGAGCTTCATCCGATCGATCCTGACAGTCAAACTCTCCGTCGCATTCCCACTTCTTCTGGTTGAGGCAGCGGCCGTTGGCACAGCGGAACTCGTCTGGTCCACAGGTTGGATATTCTGCAGCAGGACAGGGGTGTGTTTAGAACACAGAGCATTAATCAGACATGGACGCCCAAAGTGTTTTTGCCCTTTAAGGTCTTGCGATTAAAATTAAGAAACCACACAAGGATTCTTGGGTTTTTGGGCATCTTTTATCAATTAATTGTTTCCAGGACAGATTAAGGACATACAATTTTTCAATTACTCAGTTAATAAATGTTATACTTTGGGATATAGGAAGGAAACAAAGTACTTTGAGAACATGTGTAAGAACCATTAAACCAGCAAACCAGTGCCTTTTTTTTAACCTCAGTTTTTGGCCTTGTGACCTCAGTTCCAGCTAAAAGAAGACATTTCAGAAAAACTCACCACATTCTGGAGATTCGTCTGAACCGTCAGAGCAGTCGATGTCATGATCACACACAAACTGTTTGGGGATACACTGTCTGTTCTGGCACATGAACTCATTCTCAGCATCACAGGTGTTGTTGGTGTACACTGGAGGGACACAGGGAAAGCACATGAACACTAATGTACCTAACACATACGTTTATGTATGTTTTAATAATAACGTATTAGCCGTCCCACTCACTGCATCCAGCCAAGACGCTCTCATCAGCTCCATCAGGACAGTCTTTGTCTCCATCGCACTTCCAGCGCTGTGGCACGCACTTGTGAGATCCTGGACACTGGAAGGCTTCAGGACTGCAGGTCACGGACTCTGTGATGATGGAGTTCAGGGAAAACGTGAGCACTTGCATCACGCCAACACGAAAAAGAAAGTATTTTGACATTAACGTGCATCAGTAATGAGTAACTCACTGCATCTCTCATCCTCGTCGGAGCCGTCGCCACAGTCGTCAGAGCTGTCGCAAACCCAGTGACTGGAGATACAGCGGTGGTTGGCACATTCAAACTGGGTGGATGTACAAAATTTGTCTACAGGAAAAACACAGTGAGTTGAACATCATTGGAAAAATAATCTGTCATGTTTTCCAATGGGAAAAGAGGGAGACATGACAATCTGGGCATTGTGTTTGTTCTTTGTTTGTGTCTTGAGGAAACGTCTGGGTTTGAGGAAAGACTGACCACAGTGTGTCTCATCAGCTCCGTTCTCACAGTCGTTCTCTTTATCACATGTCCAGCTCATGGGGATGCAGCGACCGCTGGGACAAGCGAAGAAGTTGACCGGACATTTGAGTCTCTTTTTATCTGCAAGGCAAATTATTAAGTCAAATACTGTAAAATAAAATATATATATACACAAAATAACCTTTAAAGGCTTTTAGAGAAAACAAAGCACAAACCTGGGCAGTTTCTCTCATCAGAATAGTCCCCACAGTCGTTGTTGCCGTCACACACCCACGAGGGGAGATAACACAGGGTGGTTTTCTCACAGCTCTGGAAATTTGCTCCTTTTACTCCCAAACGGAAGAAACGGGAACAGTCTGTGGCCTCTGGAAACAAAACAAGCAAAAATATATATTTTTGTCCAGTGCTCAAATGGTGGCCCGCAGTCTGCAGCTGGCCCCCGAGTTGCCTATTTGAGGGCCACAAGAACAGCAGTTTTTTTTGTTTTTGTTTTTTTTTTACACTCAGTTTTGGAAGTGGTGTGCTTATCCATACTTTGCCAGAAGAGGGAGCCTAGTTTTGTATTGTTTGGTTTAATTTGAATTTATGTCAAAATATAAATGGCCATTTATTTATTTGTTGTTGTTTTGAACATGACTTGTGGCTTGACCAACTGATATAAATTGACCTTTGACCCAATAAAAACAACCATTCTGTCACCACCTCCTCCATGTTGCCCTAATTTGAACATTTGACAGTAAAAAATTGTTGAATCAGTTCAGCACTCTACTCACGGCAGTTCATTTCGTCACTGGCGTCCTCACAGTTGACCACCTGATCACAGCGGCTGTAGTTGGAGATGCAGCTTCCATCTTTGCACTGGAACTCTCCTGCGTTACACAGGGTCACTACAGGAAAAAGGACAGGCTTAAAGGATCCCATACATGAAGCATGTCTGCAGTCAGACGGCCTGATGGAGCCAACTGTTGTAATTATGTAAATGTCAGCGAGCGTTTAATCCTGTGTGGCAGGACTAACTCACTGAAGATGTGACGGTGATGTGTTAAATGTTGTTGTGCGACTAGAACATTTTCAAATGAGCCACGGTTCACTTTAAATATGGAATTAACACGGTTGGATAATTTTTAATTTCACAGTCGGAGTGGAGACGAGAAACTCACTGTTACAGGGCAGTTCGTCTGAATGGTCGCCACAGTCGTCGGTTCCATCACACCAGAACTGGTGACCGATGCAGCGGCCATTGATGCAGCGTCTGTAGCCTTTCTTACAAAGACGGTTGGCTGAGAGGGAAAAATCATTTTATTATGCTTTGCCAAAATGGTATCTATCCTTGAATTACATTATATTATGTGTTATTTTAAAATGATAAATTAAATGATGAATGTTTTTGGATTCTGTTGCCTGGGGGTATTTAAAAAAACATCAAGGAATTGTTTCTAGATAAAAAAAAATCAATCTTCTTAGGTTAAAAAATAATTGTACATTTTAGCTGATTTTTACAGAGCCCCTAAAGCACGAGAAAGAATCTTGTGCGCACGAGATACGTATCTTTTCTGTTTTTCCCCCTATGTCAATTTCGCACCAGCTTTTCTGTTTTTCCCCCTATGTCAATTTAGGGGCTCTGTAGATATTTTTCTCAATTATAAAAATAAAAATATATCTTTATGAGCTTGAATCAACCAGTAGGAGAATCTAGATTTTTTTTAAACATCACAGGGTTCCTTTGCAAAACGCAGTAGAACAACAGGAACATTAACTTGACTTATGGATTTATGTCAAGACTTATGGAAAAAAACTAAATAAAAAAAGCAAGCTTTAAAAAAACCTCCTGTGTTTGTGGTGTATTTTCCAGGCAGCGTTAATGTATGAGAGGGTACAAGGGCAGATCTCATGTTTATGGCCCACACATTTCATTCTAATTAACCCTGCAGCCCAGAAACCCATGCTGGACCCACACTGACATGATGCCGTGATGATCTACCGTCACACACACACACACACCAGCCATTGGCCCTTCCATCATCCAGTAATTAATTGTATGTAATCGCCTTCATTCATTCTAATTAGCCGCGAACACCAGCTCGTTATATGCTGATTATGATTCACAGATGATAATTAGCACGGTGATGAAACTCACCACAGTACGACTGTTTCTCATCCGACTTGTCTTTGCAGTGGGCCATGCCGTCGCAGGTCAGACTGTAGTTGATGCAGTCTCCGTTTCCACACTCAAAGTCGTCCACACTTCCACAGGAGACGTTCAGAGCTGTGGGGAAAACAACATCTGACATTAAACCACAAGAAAACTTTATCCTGATGAAGGTTGAAGGTTTGATCTTTCTTACAGGAGCAGGTGTTGTCTTCCAGAAGCTGTCTGTCTCCACGGCAGCTGCAGTTGACCCGTCCATCAGATGTGGGCAGACACAAGTCCTGGCAACCTCCGTTGTTTGTTCGGCAAGGAGAAAACTCGCCTGAAGAGAAAGTCACACGGTGGCTCAGGTCTAACAAACTTCTCAGAGTATAAAAAAAAAACATCTTCACTCCTTGAGGTGAGAGCTCTCACCACTTTCTCTACCAATATGATTTTGAACCTTCCTCTATCCCTTGGTAATCAAATGTAAATGAAACACTTAGTAGAGAATTGGATTTACTCACAACTCTTTAAGAAAAATATTTATTTTAGGACAACCATACGCATAATAAGCTCTGGTGGGCCACAAAAATTATGTGGCAGGCCACGTTCGGCCCACGGGCCTTGAGTTTGATTTATGAGCTCTATATGCTGAGGTAAACAGTTTGGAACAAAGAGTTCGATCCACAAGCTGTCGGAGGCGAGTGAAAATCACTTTAGCTCTGCTGAGCTGGTACAAATGAAAGTGAAGAGAACAATTACAACTGACACCTTCAGAAACGCTGTAATTCAGAGGCAGTAGCTACACAAACCTGGCACTGAGGCAGTAAATAATACTCACAGCTATTGGTGTCATTAGCCACAGCAACAATGCCCATGGGCTGCTGAGGGATGTCTGCACGCAGCACCTTCATGTCTCCTCCTGTGTACTTATCAGCTCTGAGCACGGCCCTCCTCACCCAGTCAGTCCAGAAGATGTAGTCTCCGTACACGGCCAGGCCGAACGGGTGGACAGGCTCGTTTTTCAATAAGACCTTAAAAAAGGATAAGGTCAATAATTAGTACTGGAATTCACAAAAAAAAAAAAAAAAAACTAAAACCAACATCTTAGGGCCACTTACGTAACGGCTGCTTCCATCATATTCACAGCGTTCAATCTTGTCCAAAGTGGCGTCAGAGAAGTAGAGTTTCTCAGCCCGATGATCTATGGCCAGGCCATTTGGAGTTTTAATGTCGCTCCCGACGATCACAAGCAGGTTGGCTCCGTTCAGAGAGGCCCTCATGATGCTGGGGGACTGCTCATTCCAGTTGGTCCAGAACATGATACTGAGTCGGGAACAAACGCAGGGAAAGAATGAGGTGGGAGTTCCCAAAAAAAGTTATGGCTGAGTGAACTGGTATAAATCTGATGCTTAAAAGGAATTAAGGAAATAAATGGTACTGGACGCGGGCCCTGGCTGCAGAACACACAGGTCCAATATTAATGACTCACTCCTGACACTCGTCCAGCACGAAGGCCCTGGGGTGGTCTTCTCCAGACATAGTGACCACAATGTTGCGGTTATAGGCCACAGTGCGACTCTGGTCCACGGTGTGGCGGGTGATGGTGGAGGTGGTGTAACTGGTCCAGTACAACGTGTCCCAGGCACGGTGATACGCCAAGCCCTCGACTGACCCCACATCTGTAAAACAGAGCAGGAAGAAGAGAGAGACCCTCAGTGAATTGTTGGATTCTGTACAAATGTTTTTACACCCGTGACACTTTAGCTACAGCTGAGTATGAGGAGAATGGACCCTTTACTGTCAATATAAAAAAGAACATCTCCAGGGTGTAAGGAGCAGCTTTAGTGAGTGAGGAGTCAACAAATCATTTATCTCTGACACAGCTGTGACAGTGTTGCCCCCAAAGGTAAGAATAAAGACATCTTCCTCTTCCTCCCCTTTATGGTGCTTAAAAAAAAAAAGGTCAACAGGCCAGTACCTCACGTTAAGTCTAATAGCGCTAAATAGCGCCACCTGTTTTTAGCTTGTACTCATGGTTAAGCTAAGTTTGAGCAGAGTTGTGACAGCTTTATTTAAGGCTTTCCTCATCTTTTCACTTCAGTCAACGAATTGTAAAATATCTATGATAAAAAAAAGTATAAATAAATAAATAAAAGTAAAATAGAGAGGACGGTAAACTGCACCATCACAGTACTGATCCAAGTACTTAGTAGCCCGCTGTTCCGGCTAAGACTTAAAAGCCTGTATCATCCTGTCATTTCACAGCTGACTGCCTGCACATACAAACACTGCTCTGCGTCGACTCCATCACTCACGGTGACTTCTTGTCCTGTGAGAGGAAGTGCGAGTGGAACAGCTTTAGTCACTTTGCAGACACAGGCCAGTGGGAGGAGGTCTTGAGTAAGTGATGAAGATAAAGTACTTCTTCTGGATATTGAACATATTTTCCTCCTGTGACTGAGCGCCCACAGAGCACCGACACAGAAGAAGGACTATTTTTACTCCGCGCTGCCCACACGACACACCCACGCATGGAAAAGGACACTCGGCTCAGAGCTGTGCATCCATGCGTTTAAAGTCACACAGAAGACCATGTTTATGACCAACAATAAAAACCTCCACACTCTGTTTGATTTTAGACTGAAAGTCATTAACTGTGCTTTAACAGACGACTCATATGAATGAAAACAGTTGAACAGGTGAGATTCAAACTAAAAAAAACAACAAAAAACAAAGAAAAAACAAAACATCTGGACCAATAGCTAACCTGAAATAAAACTAATTTTAATCAGAATAGCTTTGAAAACGTTCACTGACGTCCAGAATTACATAAGGAGATCACACACAGCCTCCGCCTTCACTTGCCTCAATCAGCTCAGCCCATGGTTACTGTGCAAACAAGGCAGAAAACAAGTTGTTAAAACCGCGGACACTCGGAAGAACAGCGTTTCCCACCATCACAGGAGCCGCGCTGCAATCCAAGTAACACATGGGAAATATTACGTTTGTATTTTTGCTTGTTTTGATCTCTGCTTCTTTTATTCTTTTTCTCTGGCTGATTGTTCTTCTGCGTCTCCTGCAGGACGGCACGTCTCTGAAGGGCATCTAAATGGACAACATGTCCCCTGCCACACTGACCACCTAATGTGGCATCAAGTGGCATCGACTGCTTTTAAAGTGGGACATCTGTTAGCAACTACTGGGCTGATTTGGTCCACTGTTGCCTGGTTTCAGGGAATCGATTCAGGCACAGAGGAACTGCTGCGCTGACATCCCTCCAATTTTGGACTCAAAATGCTCCAACGTGGATTACTAAGCAGTTTCTGACGCAGCCAAGGACTGGCCTGAACGCTCTCTGAAGTCCTGCTTCAAACGTGACTGCAGAGCAAGATGCAAAGAACTGCCATCATTTGATGTTTGTTTCAAGAAAAGGATCAAATATATCATCTTAACAATTAATAAAGCTGAGAGATCCAGTCAGAGAGCAACAGGAGCTCGTGTGACTCAGGAGGCATTGGATTCAAACATTCATTTATTCCTGTGCACTTGAAAATGAATTTTGACCATGCGATAATGGACCCTCTGTGTTTGCAGGTCACATTTTAAAGTTCAATACAGCCTTTATATTCTGTGTTCCACAGACAGCACTAAGTACATAAATGTCAGGAGGTTGTCAACTGACCAGCGCGCTCCCAACTGCTTCAATAACTGCAATCTTCTGGAGGGCACTGGCAGCCATAATGGAGTGCGGCCGTTCCGTCTGTCACTAACAGTTAAGGCATGGATCGCAGTCAAAAAACGCATCAGCCAGACACTTTGTATAAACGCTGCTGTGGCGCTCAATATTTAAGAGCCATTAAGGTAATTACTCTATAGACTCTTCTGATGAATACATGGAGACTTTGGGGCAGAAGGAAAATAGTAGCAGCTTTGGCCAGTTCACCCGCGCAGACGATAATTTGATTAAAGTCATCGTGCCCACCATGGACGCGCTGATTCTGGTGACCGGCCTTGTGGGACAAACCCTTGTCATAATCATTCTTAACGGCAGGAGGAGAAAAGAAAGTCAACCTCCACACGGCACAGACACGCTGCTGCTGGCGCTGAGCGCCGCTGACCTGCTGCTGCTGCTGTGTCTGCCCTTCCACACGTCCGCCATCACTCTGGGCTACTGGCCTTTTGGCACCTTAATGTGCAAAGCCATCAGCTTCCTGGGCGTGGCCTGCTCCGCAGCATCGGTCTTCACTCTGGCAGCCCTGGCTGTGACGCGCTACCTCACCGTGGTCCACTCCACCTGTGCGTACCGTCTGAGGATGCACAGGCGGATAAAGCTGGCGGTGATCCTGCTCTGGGTCCCCGCCTCGGCTCTGGCGGCGCCTCAGTTTGCCTTTCGCACTGTTACTGTGTCCAGCGCTGTTTACTGCTTTGCCTTCCTGTCTGAATTCAGCCAGCTGGTCTACAGCTTAGCTCTGTTCCTGTTTGGCTTCGCTCTGCCACTGGGCATCATCGTGCTGATGTACGCCAAGATCTACTGCTTTCTTCGACACGCACGGCTGCTGGGAAACGCTCCCCAGCTGGAACGCTACCAGAGCCAGGTCACTCACACTTCAGCTCTCCTGGTCCTGGTCTTCACTCTTCTGTGGCTGCCCTCCTACGCCCTCATGTTCTCCTTCATTGGCGGGACAGTATCAAACTCACCCGGCTACAACACAGTTGCCGTTCTGGCCAGGACGTTGGCATCATCAGCAGCAGTGGTGAACCCACTACTGTACGGGTTTGTGTCTCAGAAGTTTAGACGAGAACTACGAGAGCTGGGGAGAGAACGTTGGGCTTGGTGTAAAAGCTGCCTGATTGGTTGTCCTGACCTCTTCAACAGCGACATGGTTCAACCGTTCGAGCTGGACACAACCTCAGAGAGAGGACAACCCTGAACCTCTGAGCAGAAGAGGAAGAAAAAAAAAAAAACCTAGGCTACCCCAATATTTACTATTTAAAGACTAATAATAATATATGTGGGCAAATCTATGTAATATTTATATTTTATGTTATATTACTTTATCTGAGATTATGCAAAATGTAAAATGGAATATACTTGATTTTACTGTTACAAATAAATCTAATCATGAAAAACTTTTCATTTTATAGCTAAAAAATTAAAATCTGAAAGGAGCCTATAATGTAACCTGAAATCTTTGTTGTTATTCTTTTTTTCAGAAAAGAAGGTCTTAAAGACACAAATCTACATAGAAGAAATTTTAAAAAGAACAGTTTTGACCTAAATATAGGACTCGCATTAAAAGTAATTAAAAATTGGTTTTATAATTGTTGCAATTTCATTAGAATAATAATTATCTCTAAAGAAAACCATTTATAATTAAACCAAATGAAAAAAGGGTAAATAAAAAAATAAATATATTTTTAGTGTATTTTAATAGAGAGTAGAAAAGTAAAGTGTTGTTACGCTCCTAAATTCAAGAAGCAGCAGCTGTGTGTGTGTGTGTGTGTGTGTGTGTGTGTGTGTGTGTGTGTGTGTGTATACAGTGAATCCTCAGAAGTGCTTCGTTTGTCAAAATGTGCCTTAATGAATGTTTTCAGTTTCCAGAGGCTGAGGGACAACATGCAGTTACACCACAGACTCTGCTGCTTTACCCTGTGTGTGTGTGTGTGTGTGTGTGTAAAAAGGTTGACTGCAGCAAAGTTGCAGATTAAGACTTCGTGTAACTGTTGACTCCACACTTACTGTCCACCACGATCTTGCGGTCGGTGCCGTCATCGTTGATCTGCTGGATGTTGCCAAAGTGGATGTCGCTGAAGAAGATGCGGTTGGAACCTTTTCCTCCGCCGCCGTGGTAGTCAAAGGTGAGGGCGATCACATTCTTCATATGATCCGGATCTTCGAATGGCTTAATCGGCGCGTTGAGGTTGGTCTCATCCGAGAGGTGGATGCTCTTCAGGATGGTGCGTTCAGAGTACAGCAGGTACCCGTCGTAGTCGCGGCAGCTGCGGTTGTCCTCTGCCAGCATACCGTGAGCACAGGCGCAGGTGCGCTTATCATTCCCACGATAGAGACACAGCTGCTCACAGCCGCCATTCTTGTCTTTGCAGACGTTGGTGCCTGGGGAGAGAATTTCACACATGAACGAGGGTTGGTGATAAATAACGAGCGGGGTTAATCAAAGGTATTTGACTGGAGCTCTGTATTTTTTTGACCTGTAAACTACATTCATTATTCAGAAAGGACAAGTGAGAAATGACGGTGATAGGAGGAAAAATAAAAAAAGCTCTCCAAGCCCAGCTCTCATGTTCATATTCAATAGTTGGCATTAAAAAAACAAAGATTAACCACCATTCCACTCCCACCTCTTTCATAATCCAGGGCTGATTTATGAAGTGTTACTGATTGGGTAACTGTGAGTTACTGTAAGAGTTCTCCGAAAAAACAAGTAAAAGATAAATGAACTTTGCTAGACAAAAAAATGATAAAAAAATTGTTAAGTTCAGTTTAACAAAATTGCAAAAACAAAATATTTTCAAAAAGACAAATCCACTAAGGGCCACCACCGACCTCAACAAGTCAAAAGAAAACTTATATTTAGTACCAGCAAAAAGGCTTTAGCTCAAAGAGCAGCTCAAATTGAGCTGAAGCTGAAGGTTCTTCAAATGTTTGACCAACATAGCTATAAGATTGATAGAAAAAAATAGAGTAGAAGTAGCATTAAGATAGCAAATCCCTTAAATTTGATTTAAAACCCCCATTAAAGCTGCTAATTTCTTTGAGTCTTTCTGTTTTTGCAACGACACACTGACTGATGGTTGATTCCTGCAGACGTTCTGTCTGATTTATTCACCTTGCTGCCTGGCCCTGTTGAAAACCTTGATGTCCTTGAGCTGCACACCGATCCCACTGCGGAGCTGAACAGCATCTGTGGCGTTGTCTTTGCTGCCTCTTTTGATGGAACCGTTGGCGTGAGTCCTGAACAGAAGCAGGACAAATGTTTTAGACTTCATAATGACGTGGTTTAAACCCTGTGAAGCTGGAGGAAACACACATTCATCCACGGCACTGACCTGTCACTCCAGTAAATGTATTCCTCAAACACAGACACTGCGAACATGTCCATGTTGTTGTTGGCCAGCACCACCTCCCTGTTCTCTCCAGTCTCCAGGTTGATGCGCTCAATCTTGTCCGTCCTGGCGTCGCACCAGTACAGAAAACCGTCCTGCAGGAAAAACAGCGGTGATTAATATTAATGTTCCTTTTTTTTTAGAATCCACATTGAACACATCTGTCTTCAGGTACACAGGTTCAAACGGTCATTTAAGGAAATCACAGTCATTTATTAAAACCTGACAAAAATATGAATTCTGAAGTAATTAACCGTGGTTTGAAATGAAACGTAAATTAAAAGTTAATATATGAAAAATAAATGTGACTGAGATGAGTGGAGCCGTCTTTGATGTTTGTCAGATGAAGGACCTCCCAAACTGTCAGACCTCCTACTGCAGTATGTACAGTCCATTTGATTTATATTCACTGATCCCAGTGTTATTCATATGCAAACCTTAATATTTTTAATTTAACGCCGAGCAATTTAAATATTTATATATAAATATATTCGCATAGTCATATATTTTCTAATATAATATAAAAAATATGCAAGTAAATGATGTAAAAAGTCCAGGATCCCGTTACTGTACAGTATCTTCACGAACCTCCCAGGGGCCCCAAACCCACTATTGAATACTCTATAGTAGACCACATGAACTGGTCTATTGTTTTATACAGTGCAGTAGTTCCCCACGCATACAAAAGCATTTCCACACAGGTTGGAGTTTGATGCTGTGGGTAATATCAGGTTGAAGTACTTCGTATTCACAGTAGTCAGCAGCTACACTTGATCTTAAATCACACTACGATGACACCTGGACAATACTTCCAGTCTGGTGAAGAACAGTCTTCCATTGTATCTGGGACTTGAACTTAAGACCAAGGCTGGGGCCAGACTAAAGTGTCAGTTACAGTCAACATGAAGGCTGAGTTTAAATGTTTGGAGAATTTAGTGAGAAATTTGATCAAAGTGAGACCAAAAAAAACTGCAGCCTGTTATTTAACAAAATTATAAAACTGCACTTTTTTTAATCTCTGCAGGGAGTTTTTTCTTTCTAAATTCAAAGTAAAACATCCAGTAGGTCTGTTCAGAGAAGCAGTGAAAAGAGTTTCCACAAAAATAATTACATTAATCACATTCATAAATAAATCAGATACAGACTCCAAACCTAAAAAAACAATGCAATGTTTAAGACAGTTAACTGAGAAAGTGTCAAAGACATTTTAAACGGCATGACGTCAGATGTGGTCCACACCTCGTAGTCGATGGAGATTCCATTTGGCCAGCTGATGCTCGCATTGACCATGACCCACCTCTGGGTGCCGTCCAAACGAGAACGTTCGATACGGGGATACTGACCCCACTCTGTCCAGAAGAGATATCTGCGAACAGAAAGCACATTTATGAAGATACTAAAACCTGAAGATGTAAACAACACAGTAACATCTCTAAAAAAGAAGAACGGTCTCAGCCCTGGCAGGAAATCATACCCTTTGACTGGGTGGACAGTAATGGCTCTGGGTTTGTCCAGGCCCTGGGAAATGACTACATAGCGGAAAGAGCCGTTCAGCCTGGCCACCTCAATCACGTCAAAGCCCTGGTCAGTCCAGTAAATGTTTCCTAGGAAAGGACAGGGACAGAAATCAGCCAACGCCGTCTTCAGTTGGTGTCTCCACAGCGTGGGCTCCAGTCAAAATAGAATATTAAGTTGTCCAAACCTGCTATCCAGTCCACAGTGATGCCCTCCACCCTGCCGATTCCATTGGTGACCACATCTTCCCTCCATGTCTGATCTCTCTTAGCCCTGCTGATGGTGCTCAGACCCATGTCCACCCAGTAGATGGTGTCATTCTCTGTAAGAAAAAAGCCATTCACTATAAATACTCAGTAATACGGGGTAATTACAGCTTCAGGTTTTATTTAAAGTGCAGCCGTGCAGTCACTGTTGTCCCTCAGTGTGGCTCACCAGCGTGGAAGTCGATGCCAACCGCCAGAGAGGTGCCAGACACTGGCACCAAGGCGTCAGATTTGTCCGCTGGGTCCAGTGGAATTCCTCTGATTCCCTCGTGAACGGAGTAGAGCAGGAACGAGCCCATACCTGCTCAGAGGCAGAACAGACAGCGTTTGTTCCGAGGACATTCCTCCTGTATGTGTGAAGGCAGCTGTGAAGATGCGTCTTACCCTCGCAGGACTGCTGTCCCGTCTTCAGGCTGTAGCCCGCCGTGCACATGCAGGACCTGGTGGTCGGGGAGGTGGGGAGACAGAGCTGGGAGCAGTCGCCATTGTTGTTGCTGCACAGGTTGATACCTGCTGGAGGGGAAAGGTATTACACTTAGACTCTGACCAGACAGAGAACAAGACAACATACATTTTGATTTATATAAAATATACGATATATATTTTATATACAAATGTAAATTTGTATATAAAATATAAAATTTAGATTTATATAAAATATAAATCATATTAAAAAGTCCTTATATTGAACTTAATTGAACTAGAGGGTTGCTCTCGCTTAATGATTAATCGTGATCAAACACAACAGTAATTTTTTGTGATTAATCAAGGTCAAACTGAGATTCCTAAAAATGCCAAAAAATGTTTTTCCTTTTTATTTTTGGAACAGACAGAAATACAACATAAGATAAATATATGTGATTTACACCTGTTTCTATTTGTCACCAATCCAAATGATGGAATTATAATAATGGAAATATGTCAGGAAAAGTATAAAAAGTATAATCAGGGAAGATCAGTGTTAGTCCAGGCTTTTATACAGTGGACAGTGAATTTGTAAGGATTGTTTTTTTATTAATCAGATTTACTTCTTAGTGTTTTTTATTTTTTTTATTTCACTCCGTTGGGATTCTGGTGAGAATGTTTCCTCTGTGATTCATTCTCTGTCTCGTAGCAACACTTCAGATTCACTCAGACTCAAAACAAATGAAACGCTGGTTCTTAACTGCTCATCTGAAGAGAAAACAAATATGGATTCGTCTAGACTTGATGGAAAACCGTTATGTTTTCCATTCCCTCCTTAGATCATGTCGTAAAAATATGTTTATATGTTTTTTTACTTTTTCACTGTTTCATCTCACTTCTTATTATGATACTCTCCAAGTCTCCACAGATTTCATTATTTTATAACTTTGTATTAAAGGCTGGAAGACTGATCTAATTTTTTTTTTGTAAAAATAAGAAATGTGTCATTGATTTTCTGTAAGGATCCAGATATAAAAAACATTTTTTTTCAAATCTTTCCTGAAAAACATGTTTATTTCCAGTATTCCGTACCTTTCTGCACATCCTCGTCGTAAATCCTCATGTGCATCATAGGTGACGTGTTGTTCCTCATGACCTTCCAGTTTCCTCCGTCGCTCTTGTCACATCTTCCTATCTGGTCTGTCCCTTGGTCCGCCCACCACAGCTTGTCTCCTACAGACAGGCAGAGGGAGAACATTCTCATCTTTGTTCAAAGGAGGTGGGAAATCTGCAGTAATACACTTTTGTCTCACCCATGATGGCCAGTGCAGTCGCCTTGGTGAGTTTGCCTTTCACACCTTCCAGTACCTCCAGCTTAGACCCGTCCATGTTGCACCTGTTGATGGTGCTGTTTCCTGAGCTGATCCAATAGAGCTGCTCCTTTTCAAAATCGATAGAAAGACCTGTGTGGAACAGATGTGAGACCTTCACACACTGAGGGTCCCCCAGACTTTTTCTTGAAAGCATCTTTCATCGACTTTTCTCTAACTCTATATTATTTAAATGGTTACTTGTAAATTGTTGCCAGGCAGGGTAGCATCACATAGGAGCGGTGTGTGATTCAAAAACAATAACCTACAATATTTACCAGTGACCACAGGGTAACAACAAACATGCATGGTCAGAACATTTAACCTGTTGTATTAACTCACAACACAGAGAGAAGCAGAGAGGAGAAATAATATCTCAGGTTAATCTAAGAGTGACCATGAAATCTATCTTTTTTTTCCCACTCATTTTCCATGACTGGAAAATTCGTCATTCATTTCCCAGTTTTTCCAGCACACATGGAAACCCTGATACTGCCTTGACCAACTTATTATGAGTCCCAGGTCCACTATTATATAACAGTTCCTCCTTATAAATAGGAACATGTGCTCACCTACGGGTCCCTTCTGATTGGTGAAGAGTGTTGTCTGGTTGCTGCCGTCCATATTGGCCATGCTGATGTTGTCTCCATCAGTCCAGTAAAGCTTCCTGAGGGAGAAAAACAGGTCAAAATAGAAAACATGTACACACAGATCCATAAATATTTTATTGTTTACTCCATTCAGTTGAATGTTTTAAATCTTCTTTTTAATTTGCCCTAGAGATTATCAGTAGAACTATCAACAAAAAAAAGGAACAAATGAGGACCATGTGTTAGGGAATGGACGCAGCAAAAAAGTAAGAAGGTTGAGACAAGAACTTGGTTTTAAAAATATATCTGTATGTAATTTTAATATGTATATAAAATGAAGCTACTTTTCACTGAACCCTGAAGAAGTTTTTAGAAATCACTAATTTTAACTCCTTTGTGAAAACAACATGATGTCAATACAGTGGACTGTGATCCTGTTTAGAGGAAAATAAAGATTCATTCATCACAGCACAGTTTTCATCTATGGCTTCACTTCATGGTTATGTCCATTTTCTTAATGTCAAACTGGAGACACACTCACCCCAGCAGGGGGTGCAGCACCAGGCAGTGTGGCTTGTCTAATCCTTGGATGACAGCGTTCTTGAAAGATCCATCCAGTCTGGCCACGTTAATCTGCTTTTTGTTGGCATCGTAGCTGGTCCAGAAGAGGTTCCTGGAGATCCAGTCTACAGCCAGTCCATGAGCATTTGGAAGATCTGGGAAGTATTAGAAGCACAAGCGTAAATGTTGATAGTTATTCTTAGACATTTTATACATGAAATTTAACAGAAAAAAATACATCCTTACCAGCAGAGACAACAGTCTCCACCCCAGTGCCATTGATAAAAGCTCTCTTGATGGTCTGTGTTCGAACGTCTGACCAGTAGATGCGATGCTCCACGGCGTCATAGTCCACTGCTGTCACATTGTCTATGTCCGGCACAGTGAAGGAAATGATGTAGTTGTAGTAAGGGTTGTCGATGTCCACGCCTCGGATCTCGATCTGGCGAGCGTAGAGGAGGAATTTGCGCGACTCTGGATAAGGGGAACAAACGACCAACAATGTCAAAAAACAGAACATTTTCTAAAGAAAATCAATACAATTTCTCCATTATGACACAAATATATATAAAAATAGCTCTGCAACCCTTCTCCTGTAGCTCTGTGACTTCTGAGGGGGCCCACCCCCCACATTGGGAACCATTGCATCGATTCATTGTTATTTTAAGTCCAATACACATTTGCTCTGAATGCACACACCCCAGACCAACCACTAGTCACAGGAGGGCTGTACCATTAATCAGTACTAGGTTGAAATTGAAACACATCAACAAAAACCACGTGTTAATGCGCTTTAAAATAATTGCTTGTGTTCATTATTGACGCCTTAAAGTAAAACCCAACCCTATCGATCGAAAAACTACAATCCTGCAAATAACGGTACCATACATGCAGTACACTTCATGTAACTGCCTTTATATAGAAAAGGCACAATGCACAATAGTGGTCCCAGGAGCTGTGAGGAAGAAAAAGTCTCTAAAACAAAGAGCTGGAACCTATAGATGGGACAGATGATAAATGGTTCTAGTACTACGTCTACTTCCTGAACAGTGGCTTTAAGCCAAGAGAAAGAGTCAGCAAGTATGTGTTGGTCAGTGAGGTACTGCTCCACGGAGTCTGTTCCTACCTTTGCAGGTTCGTTTGTCAGGCTGCAGCTTCATGAGATGAGGGCAGGCACATGAGAACGTCTGGTTGAAGTTGATGAGACAGAGGTGAGAGCACGGGCTTTGACCATCCTTACCGGCACACGGATTTGGAGCTACGGGTTAGAAGAAGGAGAAGAAGAAAAGTGAAAAACTTTAGACACTACACTATTGACTTCATTTAAATATATTACATTTTTGCTGCACATTTTTATTTAGTGGTAAAACTATTAAAATGGATATTTTGGTGTTGTCGGCTGCAGACGCCTGGACTAAACTAACTGAATTTAAGACACAGTTTCAACAGTATCATAGCCCTGAGTCATTTTCCAGAGCGTAACAGACCTCGACCACAATGGACCTGAATAACAGACTGGGCATATGTGTGTGTGTGTGTGTGTGTGTGTGCACCCTGTCAGCACAGCTTGTTGTCTCATCACTGTCATAGCCCTGGGTTATAGTTGTCAGTCACCAACTGTGTGTGTTCTGTGTTTTTTTTTGTTGTCGTTTCGTTTCAGTTTCAGACCCTGCTGCCTCTCTGCTGCCAACACACACACACACAGTCATACACACTCCTGGGATTTAAAAACCAGTGGTGAATAAACACCAGGGTGTCAACTCAGTCTGACAGACTGCTAGGAAAACAGCTGTGACAATTCCAAAGCGTAACTGTCAATCACATGTCTCGACACATGACGTTCAATTTGAGAGTTTCATAACTGAGTATTAAGAAATACCCAAATGTGTGGAGGTGAAGGTGCAATTTGACTCAAGGTTTCTCAAAAAGTTTCTCTGCAAAAATTGAGAGTTTTCCAAAAGTTGTGAAACTTTTATCCAAAGGCACTTAGAAAAGGTTTCACAAGCGAGTTAAAATACTTATTTACAGTTGATGTTTTAAACACACAATGTGAAAGAAAATCATCTGGGTGAATTTGCCAAACTATGACAACGTTTCTTCTTCCCCCTAAATTAGAAGATACCTTTGAGTTGTCATTTATTTAAAATATTTATCTCATGTGATTAATTGCAACAAGGTCATTAATTATATGCTAATTTTCTACACATTTTTTTACCAAATATGACAAAACTGTATTTGCTAATCATTGTTTACTGTTGTAACAATTCAAAACATGGACAAATATGGTCTGGAATATTCTCCTCAAAGGTATTGCATACTTAAGAGGTATGGATTTCCCAGTACAGTTTAAGTAGGGATGCTAACAACCAAAATCATAAGGTTGAATTCAGACCCAACACAAAATGAGGCTGAATTATTTATCACCTAAATCTATCCTTCTATAAGTTCAGGTGATGAATATTCACTTCCAGTATTTGAGGTTTTATCCATATTTTTTCAGGAATGTTTTCAGCTATGTAGCTTATGCTGCTTACCATTAGCTAAATTGCTAACATTAGCTTAGCTGGAAAGAGGACAGAAGTAAAACATACAAAACGTTTTTCCACCTGTGATTCATGAGTCAAAATACCAAGTATTTTATTTTTAAGTACCAAGTAGAAAAGCAACTACTGACAGGAGATAAATATATATATTTATACATGGAACTTTGTGAAGTTGTATGTTGTGTGTAATGTGCACCGTACCCTGTGGTTGTCTGGACGGGTGATAGACCTGCAGGTCAAAGGGCTGCGTGTTGGTGCGCTGGACTACAGTCACATTATGTCCCGTCCATTTATTTGCTTTGGCCAAAGTGTTAGTCAGCCAGTCAGTCCAGTAGACCTCGCCTCCGTACATGGTCACAGCGAAGGGGTGGGACAAATATTCATGTCCTCGCAGTACTTCAATCAGCCCAGAACCGTCGTACATGGCAGAGTAAATGGCGTCCGACCTGAGTTAGAATCAAAAACACGTGTCTTCTTCACAGAGTTGTCTACAGCTCAGACCTGAGCCATTCTGTTTGTTTTATTAAAAACAAGTGTTTTCTATGTAGCTTTTATAAAGGCACGCTGCCTCTGCATGTTTATGAGCAAACTTATGTAATAAAAACAAATGAGGAAAAAAAAAGACCATGATGCAATCACTGAGTGGGTGGCTGCAGTGAGTGCACAGAGAGAGCTCTCTCTGTTCAGAGACCAGAGGCCAACGGTACCTGGCGTCGATCCAGACAATGCGTCTTTCCATGTAGTCCACAGTGAGCCCATTGGGCCAACCACCACTGCCTGTTTCTCTGTGGATGGTGCGTCTGCCTTCACCGCTCATGGATGCTGCCTCAATCCTGGGCAGACTGGCATCCCAGTCCGTCCAGAACAGAATACTGTCAATGGGAAATGACAAGAAGTAATGCAAAAAGATGAGTGGGCTCCAAACTTGTTCTTGTTCTGCAGCTAGTATTATTAGAACCCCTCCTCAAAACTATTATTTCTATTGAACAAATTAGATTACAAATCAGTGCAATTTAAATTAATTAATTACAATTAATTACAAATTTAAGTAATATAGCCTCCAGATAGCTTTGTGTTCGTTAGCCTGTAACACTAGCTCTACTTGCTTAGACTCCTACTAAAAATCTCATTATGCCCAGTGTAAATAAACTGAATAATCTGAATTCAATCTTTCAATATTGGACCAAGTTTATTTTCACCTCCTGCTGTTACCAGGTGTGACAGCTCTGGACTGAATTGTTCATGACACCATATAGTGCATCCTACTGTTACATTTAAAAAATGACCCATATAAATGATGCTGAAGATCTCACCCATCACGGGGGTCTAAAGCGATGGCTCGAGGATGCTCCACCTCTCCAGCTAACAGGGTGGTTCTCATGGTCCCGTCCAGCTTGGCCACTTCAATTTGGTCCAAGTTGCTCTCCACCCAGTAGATGTTCCCCGCGATCCAGTCCACAGCCAGTCCCTCAGGCGTAGCCAGTCCATACTGTATCACCACCTCAAAACTGGTCAGAGCTGATCAGAATAACAGAGAGAGAAATGACAATATGACCATATGACCATTTTTTTTATCACGTGTGCTAGACATTTGCCAGACAATGACTACCACCAGAGCTGTGATTGTGAGTGTGACTTGCGCCATCACTTCTACTGTGCAAATTTCTCATTTTATTATTTCCCAGAAACCCCTGGCTCTCACGTTAGCTAACAGGGAACCCAACATGTGCGATTATTTCTGGCTGAGGCCGTTCAGACAAATTGGTCACAAATCCTTCCACCAGTCGTCAGATCAGCTCTTCTCTAAGCGTGCCTAAAGAACCACCGGGGGTTCTACTGCCTTTCTGCGTGCATTGTGTGGTCAGGGACATCTTTATTAAACAGTTGGCAGTGCCAGGCATTTGCCAGGAACATTTGAGAAGTTGCAACTGCTTCAATAAAAGGCAGCAGGAGTTGATGCGTGACTTATTCACAGTGTGTTGGTTTAAAAAAGCCATGATTTAATAGCAAATTTGGAGGACTGACAACTGGAGCTACAGAGTGTTGTGCCTCCTACACTGCGTCAGAGTAATAGCTGCAGTCACGCACACAGAGTGCTGAGATAAATGGGAGAAGACAAAGCCTTCCGTGTGCCCCCAAAGTGCTGGGCTGGGAACGTAACCTTGACTGGCAGAAGGACCTGGGGTTTGGGAGAGAGGAAGGCCAAAAAGGACCTAAGAGATTTATTCAGGGTCACAGGCCACCACTGCTGACCACAGGCTCTTCTGGTTCTGAGAAATTACAGAGTGTTCTCTGCTCAGTGCAAGTTAATTTCCAAGGAATGCACAGTTAAAAGCATGAATATGATTTGTGTTTCCAGTCCAACAATAATATCGCTGTTTTGATGTTATTTAAACTGTAAATACGAATGCTTTTATAGCAACTATTCCTACCGAAAAAGCTTTTATTGTGCACCCCAGTTAAAAGTGGCTGCATTACCTCCATTATCAGACAACTTCCCACGATAAATTTTGTCCTCCACAACATCAGTCCAGTAGAGAGTGCTCTGGTTGAGGTGGAAGTCCAGTGCGATGGTGTTCCTCAGGCCTGGTACTAGTACACTGAACTCCCCTTTGTGAAGGTCAATCCTTCTGATCTCATGGCGGTTGGAGAAGATAATGAAAGGCTTGAAGGGATCTGAAGGCAATGAATTGAAAACAAGAGACGCTTCAGTGTCGCCGCATGGGACATGACATCGGTAGGTCCAGATTCACGAAATCAAGTCACAGCTACTCCTTCCTCACCTGTACTTGTGCAGCTCTCCATGTCAGAGTCCAGCTCCCAGCCTTCGTAGCAGGAGCACTTGACGCTGAACTTCTCCTGCTCACATTTCTGGCTGCACTTAAGGTGTTTGGCACAAAAGCTCTGAATCTGGCAGGTCTTATTGTCAGCTCCCAGCTCCATGCCCAGAGGACAGGAACACATGAAGCCCTCACCAGGAATGATGCTGCAGTTGTGACTGCAACCTCCATTGTCCAATGAACACAAATCTGCAAAACAAATGGAGAAAAAAAAAGTTTAGGATAATCAAAGACCTGTGTGCTGTGTTTAGTGTTGTCACAGAACAAAAATTATTGTACCACAGAGTTTCTCGTCAGATCCATCGGGACAATCATCCGTGCCATCACACAGTTTCTCCACCGGCACACAGATGGAATCGTTGGTAGCACAGATGTGCTGAGACAACTTGCACACCAAGGCCTCACAATTGTCCTCATCGGAGTTGTCCTCGCAGTCGCTGTCGCCGTCGCAAACCCAGGCTTTGCTAATGCAGCGCGCTGTGATACGATCACAAAACATCAAGTTTAGTTTCAATGATAAATGTGCTAAAAATATAGTATGGGGAAGGATGTAGCATGTCATGTAGCATGCTATCATCCACAACGTGTTAAGTGATGGTGATGACTTTCATATAAAAATGAAAAAATACTTATATTTGCTTTTGGTAAATAGTTAGAAGATTTTTGGTTAAATTTTTAACCGGTAAAAATCAGACCAATAGGTGGCAGTGTTGTTTCCTTTAAACTTGTTAACAATCACATCCAAAATGATTCAAAATAGTTTATGGATGAAATCGATAAACTGCGTTTAGAGCGTCCCCTACAGGTAACCTTACATGATGTCCACATTTCATATTCTACATTCAAGTGTGTGGTTTGTTGTGCTGCTTCAAAACTTCCTCACCAGAGTCTCTGCAGCTGAACTTGACAGCAGGGTCACACATATGGGTAACACCCTCACAGTTGTTCTCATCACTCAGATCCATACAGTCTGTGTCGCCGTCACACCGCCAACGCATGGGAATGCACAGCCCATCCATCCGACACTGGAACTCATCTACGTGACAGCCACCTGGAGGACGAGTCGCTGTAGGAGAAAAAAAAATGAAGCAAGAAAATGTAAAGGCGAGGAGGTTTTACCTCCTAACATAACAGAAGAAAATGAAAATTCTTATGGCAAAATGATCACACAGCACTCTTGGCAGGAAATCTAAATACAGCAGAGAACAGGCCATCCTAGATGTTAATTAACGTGTAGGTGTGCCGAGAGCTGGTAACAAGCTGACACTGAGCCAAGTTAAACCACAATGACACAGAGAGCTCAGTGACTGATGACAGCGGCAGATTAAAGGCACCGCTGAGGAGGTCTCACAATGACATCCCCTCATGGCAAAGGTCAGCGCCTGGCACAGCTACGGCAGGAAATGGGCTCAGCACAGAACAGTATATACAAAAACAAAGGTGGTGGGATCGCTTTGGATTTTGGTTAATAACTTCCAGGTGGAAAAAGGGGAAACACAGACACACACACACACACACACACACAGGCAGACAAACAGGTTTGCAGGCTGAGGCTTGACAGTAGTTGGCTGCAACACTGCACGAAGAAAACACTGCATATCGCATAATACAACACAACACAAACTGTTAACAGGAGCATATGCTTGGAGTCGGACCAACAGCTGCAGGGAGAGTAAAACTGTGCTACAACAAAGTCACCCTGACAAAGAGTAAGCACGATCGGCTGCACTCTGAACATGTGAAAACATGCAATAATGCAGCAAAGTCAAAACATGTGTGGCTTAAAAAAGAGTTAATTGTTATCTAACCACAGAGCATAATGACATCCAGAACTGTGGAACACACAGAGGATTTGGTGACAATGATAAGTGGAAGCCAGGAGCAGACAGGGGCATGTAGAGCAGAGGAAAGGAAACAAGGAGGAAAAAGATAAAAGTCTGCACTCTGATAATCGCTTCTCAACTGACTACTGCAGACTGTACAGTAAACAACGAGCAGGATGTGACAAGAGCACGCTTAAACAGGGTCAAAGAGGGGTATACATACATATATATATATATACACTGTATATATATATAAATATATATACAGTGTATATATATATATATACATAGATAAATATACATATGTTTATTTATTTATTCACAATTCCGACTTCAGTGATATGGTAGACTGAAGTACAGGTTTCGTGGCCTACCCTGGTTGGTACAGTTGGCGTGGGTCTCATCACTGTAGTCTCCACAGTCGTTGTCACCGTCACAGGTCCAGTATTCTGGTATGCAGCGGCCACTGTTACATTTGAACTGGACACTGGAGCAGGAGTGACTGCAGCCGGCTTCATCACTGTTGTCTCCACAGTCGTTGTCTGTTTATTAGCACAAACACACACACACACAGAGTCAGCTGTAGCTCCACGGACAGTGACTGACGTCTCGGTGACCGGAGCTCACCGTTGTCACAGCGCCAGTTGATGTTGATGCAGCGGCCGTTGGCACAGGTGAACTGTGTGAGAGGGAAGCAGGTGGGGTAGGCTGCAAAAGAAGAGAGGAGGGCTGATGATGAGTCATTGTTCACTGAGACATTTGCTCTGAAAGCAGCATGAAAATGCAGAGTCACCGCAGGAGTCCGGTTCATCTGAGCGATCTCCACAGTCATCGTCCAGGTCGCAGGTCCAGGAGATGGGAATGCAGCGCCCGCTGGCACAGGGGTACTGGTTGGGTGGACAAGTCCGGGCTGGCAGGGAAACAATGGAAATATATGTGCTATAAATAAGACAGTAGCACTGACTCAACGCCCAACCATTCATTATTTACAGTTTAAAGGGACTTCTAGAAGATCCCCGTAGATCAGGGCCTAATTTAATTTCCAACATTCTACTGCTACCAGAAGTGATTAATAACAGGGTTAAGCCTTTATCTAAATTGAATTGAATACATTTTATGAGACACTGAGACGACTCTCAGTCCGGAAACAAACCATGTCGGCCCCAGGAGGAGCACTGCTGTGTTACAACCCACTGTGAAGCCACTGTGATGAACTGCCCTAATCAGCACATACTAATGTTTTTGCTACTAATACAATCTACCTGGTACAGAGTTTAAAAGGCAATGTTTTCACATCTGAAGTAACAGTTGTGTAGAATTCTCCTGCCAGTCAGACACAGGTGAATAACGCTGAACACACAGGTGGAGCCAGATAAACGTCGACTGGCAGGAAGCAGAGGGAGATGAAGAAGAAGAAGAAGAAGAAGAATAGAAAGAAGACAAATGAGGTTAATGGGTGTGAAGAATAAGAAAAATTAGGAGAAAGAGAAGCAGAAGGAAAAAAACTAAGAGAAGGTAAAAAAAAAGAAGAGGATGGAGAAGAAGTAGAAGTTGCAGTACAAGTAAAAATAGACAGGGGAGAAAAAAGAGCAGCAGAAGAAGAAGAACCCTTCAGCCTCCGAGCCCCATAATTCAATTTGTTAATTAGGTAAAGCGTAATGTTATAAGGTAGTTGAATTATATCTGTTAAATTACAACAACACAATGTTCTGAATGACTTTCACGCACCTAAAAAATAACTGAATAATAAACAGAAATCTCAACATTAGAGGCTGATCCTGACCCAACAATAACTCACTGAGCAGACGATGGTTGTTCTTAAAGAAGGGAGAATCACCCAGGAATGGAAATGTAAGAATATAGCGTGAAAAGTACAATGGTTTTTTTTTAAAGAAACGGTAAGATTTGAGGATCACCCAAAAATAACCACTGCCTGACTCAGACCTGTCATTCCAGAGTTAAATCTTATCCTGATTTATTCTACTGGTAAATGTAGATGGTAAACAAGCGTATATAATTATATATAAAATAATTATTTATACAAAGAGATCATTAATGACAAACAGCACAGCATCTCTATAAATATGTTTTCCACTTGGTGACGGACCAAACCAAGCGCTCCTACCAGAGCAGGTGGTGTTAGACTCGTCTTCATCGTTGCCACAGTCGTTGTCTCCGTCACAGAGCCAGCGCAGAGGGATACAGCGGTTGTTCTGGCATTTGAAGCGGTCGGCTGGACAAGTGTGTTGGTCTGAAACCAGAGAAGCCCACTGTCAGTCAGTACTCTTCATACACAACACACACACATTCAATGGACAGTGGGAGTTTTCTGTGTTTGATCTACAGTGAAACCCTGATGTTCTGATAAACCAAAGACAAAAACCAGTGGAACATCCAGTTTAAATATCAGCTTCTGCCTCTGAGGCTTCTTCCTGCAGCTGGCCAGTGAAACTACAGCCACATTACTGTGTATGGAAACAGACAATCTTGGAAAGGACTCTTTGCACTCTGTCACTGTGTGTGTGTTAACTAAAACCTTTAAACAGAGATGCTGTTGATGTCTGCGTTGCTGTGTAACCAGTGACAACAATGACGTGGCACACTCACGGCACAGCTCCGGGGCCTCATCGCTGTTGTCCAGACAGTCATTGTCCCCGTCACACTTCCATCGCTCTTGGATGCAGCGGTTGTTCTTGCAGGCAAACTCTCCAGGCTGGCACTGGGGCGGAGGCACGTAGGAGGGATTGGCTGGAGATTCAGTCCGAGGTAGAAAAGGAGCAGGAACAGAGGAAATGGTGGAATAAAAGCTCATTCTTTGGTGCTTATATAAGTAAATGGTTCAGGATTTTTTTCTAGGTGAAAATGTTGCCATAAAAAAAAAAAAAATCAAGCCACTAGGTGGCAGTTTCGCAGCTGGAAAAACACAACAAGCCAAAAAGAAGAAAAGGATGTGATGGAGCTATAGGCTAGCCCAGGGATGGGCAAACTAAGGCCCGCGGCCTAGATGTAGCCCGTTCAGCTTTTTAATACAGACTGCCAAACTAAATTATATCATTTATTTATATTATCATTATACGTTTGCCTTTTCGCTGCAATACCCACGTTTCCCCAATAGATGGCGTAGAAAATGATAAAAGCATTTTTAGCGTTTCAGCCTTTATGCATGACTTTCTATGACGCTCCATCTTTCTGCTCCTGACCCGGACCCACTGTTCAATTTTAGGACAATTGTGCCCCGTGGGTCAAAACGTTTGCCCACGCCTGGTCCAGCCAAATCCACCATTAGAAACCATTCTGATCTTTAAAAATATTCCTCACACTGTTATGACATTAAATTCTAGAAATTTGATGACATTTTTCCCTGAAATGATCCAAAACATTCCCAAAACATTTTATGAATAGTCACAAAAACAGAGCCCTGTTAAAAAACCGTAAATTCCGAGCTGGACCTCTTCTCCTGCTGAGTAATGAATTTACCACAACCCTCCACAACTCTGAGCCTGGACACCAGCCTAAGTACCTTTACAGGTGACATTGTCAGCGTCCAAGATTTGGTCGTCGGCACAGCCACAGGACCTGCCGTTGGGGATAGCGAGGCACAGGCTGCTGCAGCCACCGTTGGAAAATCGACATGCGTTGGAGCCTAGACACAAAGAGGATGAATGTTATTACACATATGAATTATTAATGTGTCAGTCTCTCTTTTTTTAACCCCAGTGAGAGATACAACACCTTGCTGCTGGTGTGCGTCATACACTCTGATCTCAAAGATGGGCGGCCTCTCGTTACGCAGCAGGGTGACCGTCTTAGTGACCTGGTCCAGTTTATAGATGCTGCCGCCGCGGTACTCATTCCAGAAAAGGAACTGTTTGTAGTGACATAATCCAAAGGCGTGGTTGAGCTCTTGTCCTTCATACACCACCTGTGTATCAGTAAAGAGAGGTCAGCTCAGGAAATTCCTTTCTCCTTTTCTTCTTTGTTATGAGCTACATTTTGGAAGGTAGCCGTGTCCACTTACTTTCCTCTCGGTGCTGTTTAGGAACACCAGCTCTATGCGGTCATAGTAGGCATCTACCCAGTACAGTATGCCCTGGGGGATGTCCAAACTCAGGCCATTGGGCCACAGAACCGTCTTGCTGGTCAAGAAGACTTGGTGATGTGAACCATCCATCCAGGCTTTTTTAATCTTCCCTCTGTTGCTCTCTGTGGGGTCTTCCTCCCAGTCGGTCCAGTACATCCATCTGAACCACGAGACAAAAAAAACAAGTCAAAATGACGCAAGTGGGTCGGGGTGAAATAAATAAATAAATAAAAATTACTTTTGACAAGTCACTAAATGTGTGAACTTAAACAACACAAACGTTGAAAAAAAAAAAGCTAACCACACCACTGTAGCTAATGTTAGCTCTGGGAACAGTATCGCAGCTATCTGTGAAAATGAAGACGATTCTTCAGTCTTGAAGTTCAGCTGGGATAAGACAAATAATGCTGAACATTTTTGTTTTAAACTACGACACTTTTTTTCAAAGCAGAACAAGCCCAGTCAACGCAGAACAGCCTTAAATCACTTTTCACCAAACTGTATCTGTGAAAAACAGTGACTTTCTTTTTTTTAACGCCTTATTTCTGTCTGTAATTCATTAATCGACATTGTTCTGTGAAAGTCTCAGGGCTGTTCATCACACGTCTCTGTCGCAACTTGAAACAAACCAACAATTTTTTTTTTTTTTTAAAGTTCACCAGTTCCCACACAAATGAAACCAACGTGTACAGCAACACTGTTTCAACTAAAACTCACACCCTTCCAGCACTGAATGCTGCTGTGGCCAAAAATTATAATGAGAGTTAACAACTTAAACACAGCATTTGTGGGAAAGACCATTACTATAACAATAGCTTTGCCTCCCGTGTCTCTCACCCTTGCTGTGGGTCGACCACAATGGCTCGTGGATGACTCATTTTCCCCTCAATGAGAGTCTTGCGTGTCTGTGAAGCCTTCTCCAGCCTGGCAACACTGATAGTCTTCTTAGGGCCGTCATCTGTCCAGTACAGATTACCTCCCATCCAGTCCACTGCAATCCCTTCCACTGTGTGGATACCTGAGATAAGTTGAAGAAGATGATGGGGGGAAAAAGCTATTAGCTGGACAATTGAGGATAAAAATTTTTAAAAAAATCTATTGATGGAAGTTTTTTTGTCCTTCACAATATTTTTTTCCCTACCTTCCTTCAGGATGGTGTCTCTTTCTGTGCCGTCTATCTTCTGCCGTCCAATGATATAACTGGTGGCATCGGCGAAGTAGATGAACTCACTGTCAGCATGGAAATCCAGAGCTCTGGGGTTCATCAAGTTCTCGATGGGTATCATGTACTCATCTGGAACCTTGGCGTTCATGTCCATGCCCCGGATGATTCCGGGACGACCTTTACCGTACACCAGGAACAGTTCATGGTCTGGTTCTGCAGAGCAGACGGTTCACGTGAAAACCTCCTCACCAGTGACATTTATTTGTCGTACGTCCATCTGAGTTTTTATACTCACTCTTGCAGGACTTTCCATCACTGCCAAGGCTGAACCCAGAGCGACAGCGGCAGGTACGAGTTTTGTGGCTGTTTCCCAGCAGACAGATGTCGGAACAACCTCCAGCTTTTCCAAACTGATCCAAAGCACAGGCGTTGCTGCGCACTACGGGAGGAAGAAAGACATGGTTAAGATCAAAGTTTAAAATAAATATATGACAGTTTGAACTTAAACTGTCTTTTTACAAAATCTAATTCTTCTTCCTAGAATTCTGGGATTATTGCCTAAAGTATGCATTTTTAGAATAGTCAGATGTGACTTCACACACTGACAGTCTGAATAGAAAACATCATAATTATGAAAATACAACCCAAACAGAATTAAGGTAAAAAAAAATAAAAAAATAAAAAGTAAAAACAGTAACACCTCAAAAACCTAGAAAAAAACTGACCTTAATTTTAATTTTCAAAAAATTAAAATTCAAAAAGGTCATATAAGAAAAATATTCAAAAAATATATTATTGCATATTCTAAATACTGTTACAGAACTTGGAAAAAATCCATATGGTGAGCAAAGGATTTTAACTTCATCCAGTTCTTTAGAGCCAGAGAACGGTTTGTCTGGATGTTGCTAGGCAGAATAGTGCCACAATTCAGGAGTTTAGTTTACTCCACAGAACACGATGTTTATGTTTTATTTATTAAATAAAGGTAATCTGTGCAGGAGTGGATAAGATTACAGCCGAGCGCCGACTCTGCACCTTGAGGTTGGCGTCTCTGGTGGTACACGTGCAGCGCCGCCCCTCGGTCAACTCTCGTCACCACCTGGAAGTCAGAGCTGTTGAAGCGGTTGACTCGGATCACGCTGGTCTTGGGGTTGAGGTTGCCTTCGTCCGAGTTGGTGGCGTACAGGTAGTTCTCAAAGACGGTCAGTCCATACAGGTGCTCAATCTGCAACATTAGGCCAAAATATCTGGTGATTCACTTTGGTTGTGAAACTTTCCAAGAATAGTATTTGTCAGTGAAAATACCCAGAGCGACAGATAACAAACAGTGTTTACGCTAACCTGGAACACTGCGACTGGCCAACACAGGTTTTAACTTTACACCGGTTTATTTTGCCTTCCGTTGCTCCACTGTCAGTAAGATGTATGGGAGAGGATCAAATTACCTCCACACTACCACCATTACTCCGTCTCCTCCCTCTACCCTGCTGATTTCATTTAGATCATTACTCCACTCAGAGTGTGAGCCAAGCTTCACGAGGAACAGACTAATATGTTTAGAGGCGGCAGCCAGGAAAACCACACACTCCTCAAGTATTATCCATCAAGATAATGAAAAGGAGCGGTGCCCAGAGCAGAGGTGGACTCTCTTTGTCTGGATTCACCAGACAACGAGCTGGAAAAGGGAACAGTCTCTGAAGATGAGATTAAATCAATGCTGATTTGGATTTGGAAAACAGATGCTGTCTGTGTGTTCTCAAAGGAGAGAGAGTTAGTCACTTGAAGGGTCAGCAGGGAACCTGGGTTACTGCTGAAATGGAACTATCAAACTGAGGCTGAGTAATCAGAAATCTGTCTGTGCATTTACAGGAACTGTGATGCCGAGCGTCGGTCGCAGCAGGATTGTGAGATTTGATTGGACCACTGTCTTTCTCAGAAGGGGAACCAATTAGCTGACGAGGAAAAATCAGACTCTGTCACCACTGTGGTGACAGAATTAAAAAAAAAAGAAGAGTAGAAGACCTGAAATTTGTGATCTAGTTCTACAGTAGAAGACCTGAAATTTGTGATCTAGACCAGTACTTCTCAAACAGTGGGGCGGGCCCCTCCGAGGGGACTCAGTGAGGTGTCGGCAGGGGCGTGAGGGGCTTTCAATGGAATATGGCACGCTGGACATAAGTGTACCACTGCTGTAATGTTTGATTGATAACAAGCCTCCAGTCACTAGGTGGCAGCAACTCATACAGTGGTTTGTACAGATAAAAATATACATGTTATCAGGTTCGCGATAGTATTTAAATTTGCGTTAGTGTGGGCTGGGGGGGGCATGACAGAAAATAATGGAGAACCACTGATTTAGACTAAGAATGAACTGTTATTATATAGTCTATGGTCAGACAAAAACACCTGGATTAATGATCTGTCTTTTTTCTTACATTACTACTATTAATTATCAATATATAAATATTTGAATTATTATTGTGATTTTTACTAATGGACCCAGCATGAGGGGGAGCAACATTAGTTCAGGTAACATTATCCTTATATTGAATATTTGGTTTTCTTGAGACTATCCCATTATATATTTATTAATAATTATCAAATACAATGTATGTATGTTTGATGGGGGGGCACCAATCCAACCGTCCTTTAAGCCTCACCAGCAGACCCTGGATGATGGTGTGTCGGTTTTTGCCCTCATAGTCCACCACTTCGATGTAGTCCAGGTAGGCGTCGGCCCAGTAGACCAGCCTGTTGACCAGGTCTAGGGTGATACCATGTGGGAATACAATCTTGCTCTCCACCAGCTTGGTGCGGTTCTGTCCGTCCATGTCACATCGCTCCACCCTCGGTGTCGAGCCGTAATCAGTGAAGAACACTTTACTGCAGCAGCAGAGGGAGAAGAGCAGGACGGAAACAGGTCATCGATTTACACCAAGAAACACTGCATGACTCAGGGTTTAACCGTGGTACAAACACTGACTTACTCCCTTATGTAGAGTAAAATGAAATAAAGTTACTGCAAGAAAAATTAAAAAACAGAAGTGATACTTTAAAAAGGAACATGATGGATTTTATTTTACGGGAACTGGGAATAAGTGTTTGCGTGGCAGCTCAGTGTTTGTCAATCTTTCCATCTGGAGGAAGTGCCTTGAATTTTGACTGCCTGCTTAGTCAGCATGCCGCCCGAGCCTACGACAGCATTTTCCTCCAGCTTAGACAGAGAGCAGCGTTCGGTCATTACAGAAACCAGAGGAAGTACGAACCCCATGGCTGGGTCCAGGGCGATGCCTTTGGGGTTGTACAGCTCCTGGTCCAACAGGGTCACACACGTCTGACCATTCTTGTTGCAAACAAAAACCCGGTCATCGACGTCATCCACGAAGTAGAAGTTTCCGGTCAGCCAGTCGATGGCCATCTGCTCGACATCTGACAAACACAGTAGCAAGAAGGAGAATCATTAAAAAGAAAACTGTCGAACTGAGCAGGACCTATGTATTATTTTAAATTACTGGGATAAGAAATGAAGTTAAAAAGTGTTCAATTTTCTCACAATCTCATGAATTCATTTGTTGGTGATTCAGAGCCTCGCTTTGCAAACAGCCTGCACTGTGATGGCATCAAACTTTGGTTTGGTTTATATGAAGAGTGGATAGTAATGTTGGGTGTACCCATCCTTTGAACTGGCACATTTTGACTGGAAAAACCTTTGGCTTTGAACCAGTCTCACTTAGTTTACTCAGCAGACATTATCATGTTCATATAGAATTAGCGGTTAAATAACAAGTGGTTTTACATTTAGAAATGAAAGTGGTATTTGAATTTTAAATAATTGGGCCTAAACTTAACTGTTGTTTTCAGTGTCACTTAGATCAGACACAAAACATAGAACACAGAGACTTAGAAAAGAAGTTAGAATATACGTCGTAGCCCTAACGGAAGCATGTGAAAGAGGAAGTTCTGCAGAGAAGTGCTATGTTAGCAGTGGACATGTTTCTCACTAAGTTCTGTGAAAGACTGGATGCAAAGGTTCCAGACCACAGGGAGGCGGGGGGGTGGGGGGGGGGATGAGGGGGAAGGTTAAGATACATGCAGCCTTGTGTTTTAACAGCTGCAGGCGCGCTCCTTTTCAAAGCATAGCACTGTATACACACATGCATATCACACAGACTCACTACTCACACGCACTCTATCAAAGTGACCACAGGTGTTGCTACAGTTATTCCAGGCGTCAACTTTGAAGTTGGGGCAAAAAGTGGGGTAAATCACATGACCCTGCCCCCAACCATTGAGAGATCGTTCGAGATGTAGTCATTTTTTTATTGTTCTAAAGGTCATAAGGTGAGTTGGAGGGACTCTGTGCAGACATTGCATGGTTGGCAGTGTCATGGTGGGCTGATCTAATTAAATTTTTTTTTTTTTTTTAATTTAAAAAATGTAATGACTAGAATGATATCCATGCCCTGCAGAGACAGATCTAGGGCAAATATCAGAAAAGAGCATAAAACATCTGGGGCCAATGTAGAAACCATGCACTCCACCTACCAAATGCACACAGACCTTCAAAAGACCTTCCCCACATGGGACTTACATTACGCTTGATTTTGCACTACAGGCAGAGTGGAGGAGAAAAAGGGGGAACCATGGAGGATGAGATTATAGCAGAGGCCGGGGGGAAACAAAATAAATGCCATTCTGATGGTGAAATTTATTCATATCCAACTCTATCAAATGCTCTGGTCCACGTCCAATATGAGAATAATTTATGAACAGACATTACAAATCTAAAAAGGGGAGATGGCCATAAATACACAGGCTAATAAAAAAATCATGGTCAAAAGAACGGGGCGGGGGCAAAAACCAGTACAAGATGTTTCGTAAACACAAGTGCCCCGATTCTGACAAAGGGGGAAGTCTGTCCTACTGCAAAAAGGAACTGTGATACTCCCACTGGTCCAGGTCATTAACCTCCACCCCTCTAAAGCAAACCAGCTGGAGGCCGCACTGCACAGACTCATAGGGAGCTAAAGGACGCTTGTGCAACACTTTAACTTGTGGACCCTGTTATCCAGAGAACCAGCCGCTCTGTTGACGCTTCTGGTAAGTGGAAGGTTTGCTGGGAAACCCAATGAACCCACCCCTCAGTCTTTCACACAACAGCCCTGCCCCTCGCAACCCTGTTTTTACACCTTGACTTCACCCCTACCGGCCCACACCATTCTGAGAAATCGTTACACAAACTGGGAAGTTACAGCACACGCAGGGCGAGCCCTAAAAAACACAGGTGTTTACATATTAGGCCACAACCTACTTTGTGATAGTCTGGGTCACACCTACGCACCTCAGCTCCATCACATGGGTGGAAGTGTTACTGCATTTTAGTGACGGTGGTGTTGTTTTGTTATTTTATCTTTTGTCTTGTTCTGGCCGTCACTTAAAGGTTGCTCATCTTCTACCGCTTGATCTTTTTCAGGGTGGCGAGGGAAGCCAATCCCAGCAGTATGTGCGTGGGGACAGAGAACACCTTGAACAGGTCACCAGACCATCACAGGGCCACATACTGCAGGTTTTATTAACCAACTGAAGTTTCCTTGCCCTGAGTTCGCCGTGTTGTTGCGAAGTGTGTAGTGTGTGGGTGGAGCAAGTAGACAGAAGAGAGGCAGAGCAGAGTGAAGTCAAAGACAGAAATAAGAAAAACAACCAAGAACAGGCAACAACGGCTGCTTCATAGATCAATATGTAGCATATAAAATACACTGATATATCTTAAAAACTCAGCATATGGCCCGGGGCATGGTCCTGAGAAACATCTCAAATGAAAATGATTTTAAAAAAGACTTTATTACCAGAAAAGCCTTCAATCAAGTAAACAATCAGAGCAGTCGAATCAGTGGGATTGAAGGACGGACTAGAAAGAAAGAGCGCTGAGGGCTGGACAAATGAACAGAGAAACATGCAGAAAGGCGTTGACCCCTGCTGAAACGTTCTGCTCAGAGGACAGAACGATGAGCGGAACCCACTCTCCTTTTATCTCTTCTGTCATGGAATCACACAAGCAGCCAGAGCAGGTCACATCTGCAACCCTCATCTTCTTATCTACACTCTCTCCTGGGCGCCCAGAAGCTATAAATCACCCTGTTGTGGTGACCCCTGAAGCAAAGCTCTCCATAGTTTCATCAATATCCATCTAAGGCCAGACTGCAGGCCTGCTCATTACACTTTAAGGAGTGCACCTGAGCCCTGCTGGTTATGAAACATAAAACAGGACCGACTCAGTTTGTCTAGAATGATTTGATGTGTATATATAAATATATATATATACATATTCATATACATACAGTCTATATAAAATCAACCTCCTGTTTCATAGAAGACAGTTGAAAAGTTTGACCAAAAAACTGAAAACTTTACAACAAACGACCTTGACTCAGCTGAGCACCACCAAAGTACAGGTGGGGGGGGGTCTCTCGCTGTTTTATCAGAGCTGAAAGCCCTCACTGACGAAAGAGTGAAAAATGTGGAGTCGCTGCCAAAGTGCAAAGCGATCCTCTGTTTGTCTGTTTGCTCCCCGAGTGAGTAAGCAGAGCCAAGACCCCGCTGCCCTGTTCTGGTTCCCACAGTGCTTTAAAGTGACCCGAACGCAGCACATCTCAAAACCAAGACCACCAACGGTGACGACACCCATCGAGCTGACACATGCAAATGAGAGGATAATCGACTCGTCTTTATGAGTTCATTGGATTGAATGGTGATGAATGAGTGGAGGAGTTCATCACTGTTTTTGTGTTGATTTTCTCCAGCTCCCCCCCACCATCCAAAAACAAGCACGGTCATGTTAGCTGTTCGTTGACACCTACACTCAACCATGGATGAAAGTGTAAAAAGACATGTTTACATTTTCTGCTTTTTACAACAATATACTTTGCAGAATAAATAAAAGAAGAATTTTAAAACTCATTCTGATCCATGAGAGTAAAAAGTTCCTGCCCCGCCCTGGAGCAGATGGGTATTTTAGTCAGGCATCATTTTAAACTGACTATTTACCTACACACTTCATGAAAGCATGAATAGAAATAAGTTTATAAATAAGTGTAAATTCAGTGTCAAAATGCCACTTTGACAAACCAATGTTGTACAGCAGCACAAAAAAATGGACATATTGTCCTTGGACAGAGATTGACCGATGGCTCAGATTCTGAGCTTGGACATATTGTCCTTTGGACAGAGATTGACCGATGGCTCAGATATTTATATATTTAATGCAAACTTTTGAAAATTGTTTGATGCATTGAAATCTATACAAAAACAAAAACACTAGAAGAAATTCCAGTGTTTTATCGATTCTTTAGGGACCAGATGTTCCAGTGAGGAACGAAGTATGGTACCAGCAGACAACACCAGGAGAAGATGTCAATGGTCAGTGAGAAACGGGTGAGGGAAATTATTTATGAAAGTGTCAGGGATGAGGTTGTGGTTAGAAACACAAACGACTGTGAGTCCAGGTCGAGTCTTAACAGGAACGACTGCACAAACCTCCGTGCGTCTGACCTGACTGGACAGGACCTGAGGAGGCCAGAGGAATGTGGAGGCTGTTCAGGCTGACATAACCCAACAGTGGAATGTAAATACCATCTCCATGACCAATTGCACACACCTCCAAGTACAGCAAATCACTACTTTCCTTCTTGCCCTCTTATTTTATCAGTCTATTCCTTTTACTCCACTCCTCCACCTCCCTGTCCCCCCACTCCCTCCTCGGCCTTTTCCCTCAGTCACTTTTGAGAACACTTGATGGAGTACATGGAAAAAAACAGGAACACAACCAGGTGATTGGGTTGTGGTCCACACATGGGAGTGTAAATCTTTGGGGCTGTAGTACAGTGTAGTACAGTGGTTATCCACTAGTCTCCCTACATTAGCTCCACACTGGCTGTTAGCAATAACAGCAGTTCCACAGGCCATTTAAAAGTTTAGCAAACTTGTGCTTTCCCCTCACTACCCTGCAGAGGGTGCTATAAATACTCCACATTAACTGCATGTTTTTAATTATATTCCCCATTTCATACATTGAGAAAGTGTCAAAATCCTGTCACCTACCTTTTCAATTTAACACATTTCAAAAAGGGTTTTAAAAAGTTAAATGTAGCTAAAACTGAAACGTTTTAAGTTGCTTTTTGACAAAATTAGTAATTTTGAAAACAATATATAAATCTTCAATATACAAATATGTATCAATATATATTTATATATACTTTCTTTTTTAAGATAAAATTACGTCAGCTGAGAAACAGCACTGGCTAAAACGTTAAAATACCTGAAATACTTTCACACAGCCATAAAAAGGTAACGCTGTAAAAAAAAAAAAAAAGTTTTTTCTTATCATAAAAAATAACTTATCTCCTCCATTTGTTTTTCTGTCCTGCTGCTTTATGCCTCTGGGGCTCATTCTCAGGAGAGTGTTTCCCACATGCTGAACCAACAACTGGATTTTTTTTTTCATTATTTTGTCTAGATTGTCTTGATTTCTCCCCTGTGTAAGAGTGTAATGACTGTGTCTGTCAGCCAAATAAAAACAAACCTTGTCGTAATCTCGGATTGTAATCAGAGAAGTCAGTGTTATAAGTCGAGGAAGTGTCGTCATGTTGTGAACGTGAACCTCGGTGTCTCTGCGTGTGTGTACGTGTATGTGTGTGGATGTCTGGCAGCTGCTGAAGAGATGGGAAATCATTAACAATATGTGGGACACGTCCAACCAAGTGCCCTCGGTTACTGACAAAGGTAAACGAAAGAACGTGATCCACCAGAATACGTGAAATGTAATCTAATCTGACTTCATCAGGGTTGAAGTCAGATACCACCGCCAACCACAGCTGAGGCGTGTCCAAGCAAAACAAACCACATCATGTTTGGAACTAATGTTTAGAACAGTGACCTGATGACTGTAAGGCAATCGTACTAACCACATCTTCAACAGTTGATGAATTTAATTTAATCGTTGACATGACAATGAGAATAAAACCCTCTATTAGAGCAGTATAGAGTCAGGGCACTGCCAAAGAACAATGCAGACCAACACCTCCAGTCACACTATGAATCATATCACTGCATGTCAGCCCAGCACTTTGTCTGGATGTAGTGATTAAGTGGAGTGTCAAGGTGCCCCTGTTCTTTAAAGAAAACCTCTTGGAAAATAAAGCAGGGCTCAGCATTTTTCCGTGGCACTTTTATGCTGGTACGAGGAAGATAAGCTGTAATGCTTCATGTCTTACACTGCAAATGCAAAGCTGACGGTTTTGATTCCTCAGGCAAGGTGTGCAGAAATTTCATGCAGGGAGAGATGACATATTGAACTGATGGTGTGAGCACCGCCGGTGTGTTCTTTTAAATGCTTTCACCTCCCGCTCACTGGAAGACTACAACTAACCTGTCAGGCCCTCTGTGTTCAAAACAACATTATTACAGGAAAACTGTGTTCGCTCACTGCTGTTGTGTCATTTTAGCTGAAATTCGACACCACCAATGTGAATATTCCTGACTGACTGACTGACTGTCAGAGTTCAACGCAGCACTGATCTGCTACTCACGGTGCAGGCTGAGGGAGATGTTGATGGTGCGGATGTTGGTGACACTCTTCAGGTCTGGGATGCTGGCACACTTCAGCTGCGTGGCAGCAGGAGTGTCACCCACGTCGATCCAGCAGACGGTCTCCTCAGCGTAGATGAAGTCCATGGCCATCGCCTGTTTGGTCGTGATGACGGGCAGCCAGGACGTGGAGCCGCTGAGTGACGTGCAGCGGATGTCGTGGAGGTTGGCGATCAGCAGCATGGGCAGACGATCCACGGGCTCTGAGGATGGTGATGGCAACAAATAAGACACCAAAGGAACATCGCAATCAGCCACAAAATTAACATAATTTGTCTGTGGAATGTTTAATGCAGTTGACCTTAAAAAACAGTGCAGTGGATGCTGTTTTGGTAATTGTTGTTAGAGCACAACAAGGAATAGAAAACACTGAGCTATCAGCGAGTTGAACGAATGAAGTTCGACAAGCATTTTTTCTCTCATCTAAATCTCACAGAGAGAACACAATGAGATGCAAAGAAATAAGATGTTGGACCAGAGACTAAAGACACAGCTGCTAATTTCTAACTTCAGCTTCACATTTTGGACATTTACAACAGTACTTTGACTGCTTGTTGTTCCTCAGTCCACCAGTTCAGTTCTACAGTAATTTCATTCTGTCAAACATCCAAATACTCTTCTTCTAGCATCTTTAAAATATTAGTCATTTCTACACTAGTTATTATTCACTCTTTAACGGCAGAAAGAAAACACATCATGTGTTTGTACTTTTCAGTAATCTATAGTAAACCATGGCTGCAACATAATCAGCAAATTGCCGGTTAAAATCCTGGCCCTGCAGGAAGAAAGTGTAAATAAAATGATGATGAGATGTTTAAGTACAGATTTCCATTAGAAGACAAAAATGAGGGTAATGAGAGTCGCAGCAGATAAAAACCCATG